GGAGCGGCAGTGTGAGAGCCCTGTCTTTTGAATACCACTCAAAAAAATCTTTAAGACTAGACAGTAATTGTCTTTGAATGCTAATGAATAGGCTGGTACTTAGTAGTTTCTGGGTAGCTTTAGGACAGTGAACACTAAAATTAAGGCATAATGAACATCTGTTACTTTTCTGCCTCACCTGCAGGGAGGGAATCCAGGCTTAAGTTAGCTACCCACTAACAGTCAGTGATTAAATCAATCACACCACTCCCTGAAGCTTCCAGGAATTCCCCCCACTCCCTCCCAACTCCACTCCAAAAATTGGATTGAGCAAACAATAGGTTTCTGGAGGGTGGTCCATCAAGACAGGCTTGTCCTATGCATCTACATCCTTTATAATTTCTTTTATATCCTAGTTGTTTCTCCAAGTTTTATGAGTCACTCTAGCAAATTAGTTGGCCCAGTGAAGAGAATGTAGAAATATTTCCATGTTGGTGGGACTGACTAGCAGAAAAACCAAGAACTTGAGAATGGCATTTGGAAGTGGTGAACAATTCTGTGATAGCAACCTGTGAGATGGAATGCTACCCCAGGTAGGCAGTATTGGGACTGGGTATCAACATGAATTCAAATACAGCAGTGGTTCTCAATATGTGAGTTATGAACTCCTGGGGCGAGGATGGAGGTTGACTAACCCTTTCAAAGGGGTCACCTATCAGATATCCTGCATATCACATATTTACATTATGATTCATAACATAAGAAAAATTACAGTTACGAAGTAGCAATGAAAATAATTTTGTCAGTGGGGGGTCACCACATATGGAACTGATTAAAGGGAGGTTGAGAATCACTGAACTATAGAATAACACCAACTAGTGTCTTATACAGAAAAGACCAGGGCTTGGTATGCAAAAAGAACAAATCTCTACACAAACACTGTTATTTGACCTACCAGAAATTTGAGAAAAATTAAAAAGAAAACAATTTACAAAAAGAAACACCCACCCCAAACAAACAAACACTAACAAAACCCTTTGTTCACACAGTTCTGGAGACAGGTGCAGCTATATAAAAAAGGCGGTCCTGTATCATGTACAGTTGATCATATTGCAAAAACAAAACAAGGGAAGCAACCTAGAGCTTAGGAAGGCACAGGTATTCTAAAAGTCATTCCAGCAATAGGAGGATTGAGACAGGGACACTCAGCTTCCCAAGTCCTGGGATTATAGACCTTTACCAACACATCCAGCCAAGAACAGAAGTTTCATGGTTAGTTAATTCTTAGTGTATTAATATGCTTGTGTTGTAGTGCATAGCTGTCAGCCTGACCATCAATCTAGATAAGTTGAAACACATTATGGGAAGAAATTCAATTTCAAGGTTATTAGAAACACCAAATTTCCAGCCTAGAGTTTAGATTAAAAGTCTAAAACCAACAACTAACTTAATTTCTACCTTGCTGATTTGATCCCCAGTTCTCAAAAATTTTAACTCACAAGTAATTATATTTAGTGGTATAGTAAAATTTTTCTAATTTAACCTTGTCTCACTTCAAACATATACTTAGCATTATAGTAGTATTCAACCATTAAACTTGATTTTTTTTTTTTGTTTGTTTTTGTCTGTTTATTTTAGAGGGTTTCTTTGTGTGATCCTTGTTGTCCTGGCACTCACCATGTAGACCAGACTGACCTCAAACTCAAGAGATCTACCTGCCACTGCCTCCCAAGTGCTGGGATTAAAGAAGTGCACCACCACTGCCCAGACAATTTCCAATTTTTAATACCACATCCAAAATGCTTTAAGAGTATAGTAGACACAAATGAATAAAACCCCCAGATTATCTCTGAAGGCCTGCAATTCCATGAACTTCCAGGTCACTCCTGCCCCTAGTCCTCTACAGCTGTTGTTTGTTGCTCTCTTTTCTCCCTTACTATGCTAACCTTGTCTACCTATGCCACTACTCTCCAGGACCTGAGTGTTAAAAACTCCTCCAAAGTGTGATTTTCTGCAGTAAGACTTCCCTCTGCGAGAGAAGTAAGATTCAGGGATACAATATAGGCTGATGGTGTTTATTTGGGGAGAAATCACTTACACCAGAAACAGAGTGACTGCCACGGGTTCTTGCTCTAAGGATGCCCCGGATGCTCTCTGTTTCCGACCATGAAGTAAGAAATCGAGCTGCAATCTGGGACTCCAGACCTAGCCCTTACCCCCCAATCATGTCAGCACCTGTCCACAATGGGCATGGTCAGTGCAACAGGTATGTGTGGGGAGGTGGGGTGGATATCTCACTACATGGAACCAAATCCACTTTGCAAGAAACACATGCAGGTGGATCCTTGGTTGCTGCTCTTTTGTCCTAGCCTTTGGCGATTGCCAGCTAAGCTGGAGAAACTTGGAAGTTATACACAAAGCATGGATGAATGTGTTTTGTGTTTGTATTATAAAGCTCCAATTAAGCTAACATAATTGCCAGTTTATTAATTTATCATTTTTGTATGAGCATTAAAAATGACTTTAACAATCTTGAAATGTCCATTGCATTATTACTTACTGTGCTAAAGTGCAGTAAAATAAAGCACTGAAATATATGCCAGCACTCTAAACAAAACTTGTACCCTATCATCAACAGATTGCTTCCCCCAACTTCTTAGCTCTAGTAACCATTCTGCCACTTTTATAACAGAGTAATTTACAACACATGAAAGGTCAGGCAGTTGGTGGTACACACCTTTAATCCCAGCACTCAGGAGACAGAGGCAGATAGAACTCTGTTCAACGTCACCCTGGGCTATAGGAAAGTGACTAAATCTAAATGAAAAGCAGAGCTCCCACCTTTGATCACAGCATATGGGATCCCATGCCTTTAATCCCGGCTCTAGAAAGGAATATAAGACAGGAGGGAACAGGAGCAGTCTAAACAGTCTAAGGTTTGATGGAGACAGTATCACTCACACCTTTCAGTCTGAGGTAGAGGTTACAGCTAGTGCCTGAGCTAGTGGCTGGCCACTTTGCTTTTCTGATCTTCAGCTTTAATCCCAATTATCTGTCTCTGGGCTTTTATTATTTGTGTTACACTCATGTAACATTAAAGTGATACAGCAGCATTTGTCTTGCTATATCTGGCTAATTTCAAGTAATGTTCTCTACTTCCATCTGTAAAAAATTTCCTTTTTGCTAACATTAACAGCTTTGGGGGTCTGAAGTTACATAACAATTTACTTTTTGATATTCTTATTTGCTGGTGACAAGGTTTTACTTTGTAGCTCAGGCTGGCCTGGAATTTGTGGCAATCCTTCTAAGCCATCTGAGTGCTGGGATTTACAAGTATGAGCCATATGCCCATCAACAAACACTAAACAATAAAACCCCTGCAACAGTTATAATGATAAACTCATAGTGAAGCTATCAATTCAAACTTGTAACTAGTATCAAAACGAATGATTGAGTGTTAGCGATGGTCTAGAAAAAAAAAAAAAATACCACACTACTGATGGATGTAAATTAGCAAGCTAATCTGAAAAACAGTAAGGTTTCTTTAAAAACTAAAAACAGAATAGAAAACAATCCAACCAAGAAAGGCTAAATTGTTGCACTGTAACTCACCAAATTTTGGGGGATGAACTGGTGACTTCTTTGTCAAGTTCCCTTTCCTATTCTTAGACTGTAAAGCTAATATTATAAATAACTGTTAGAAGTACTATATATAAGACATGATTATTTTTGTCTAGTAAAGTTATTGTACTACTTATAAAGCAAAAAGATAATACAGTAAAGAAATCAAGACTTAGAAAGTGTTATAGAGGCAAATTTATAAACAGAATCAACAAATAAAGAACAAGGTGACAAGCTGAGTTTAGATCAATGAAGACAGCATTAGACTAATGAAGACAGGGAGTTGGGAGTTTGAAAATATCCAGACCCAGAATGAAGTTTTCACCTTTCCCCAGGAGCACAGCTACCCATAATGCCAGCACTTCCATATTAAAAGACCCAAGCAAAAATCATGCCCAGAGTAGTTCAAAAAATTTTCCTCAAGAAAACTCTACTTTCAGCTCTGATAAAAGCAACTGCTTTTAAAAAACTTCTTTTTAATAGTTACTCTAGTACTCATTACCTATCTTCACTACACAGTAAAAAAACTCCACATGATTTCTGAATAAGGAACTCAGACCTTCATATTTGGCAGATATAACACTTTCCAAATAGAAGCAAAAACCTTGCTAGACAGAAACAATCATGTTTTCTTCTACCTATATTTGAGAAATCAGATTTACATTCCAAGATCAGAGAAAGAAACTCGAAGGAACCAGACAAAGAATCACCAATTCAAGTTACTGGTTCCTATTCATAATGCATTCTTTCAAATAGCATAAAAACCCATATTTTAGATGTGACTTTAATAGTTTCAACGTATACTTTATAAAGGACAGAAAACTTTTCACTTAAGTTACACACACACACACACACACACACACACACACACATATATATAATATCATACAACACACACATACACTCAAAAGTAAACATTATCGTCCTTTTATAATCCAGGTAAGCAAAAAACTACATTCAACATCAACATATGTATTTCATTTGCTAAACTGTAAAATACAAATGACTTAATGATTTGTTCAAATTATTCACCAAGCTAAAATCTTTGCACACGTCTCACATTCTTCAAACTATGAGAGTCCACCAGTTATCAAGATTTATCTATACTTTGCTATCACTACATATAATTTTTGTTACTTCTTAAAAAGTGGCCAGCTTTAAAAATTAGAGTGGCTTTTAAGTTATAACCCACCATTGAGTTTCTAAATTAAAAAAAAAAAATGTATTTTCCAAATCTGCTTGCTGTGCCATCTAAAGAGATTCTAATTCTTTTAGTAGGCCTACTGCAAAAAGTCACCTTTGAATGGTAAGCACTGAATAATCAGGCTCAAGTGTAGTGCCCTTTTATACTACAAAATAGTCAGAGCTTTTCATACTTGAAAAGGAAGAATGAGCCTTACCTTTATCAGTTGCTATTTTTTCTATGCACCTGAAAGAAATTAAGAATCAAATGTTAAATTCTATGAATTTCCTCAAAACACAAGTATTTATTTTACTCACTTCTAGAATACAGAAAGCATCTACAATATGTTGTTCAAAGCAAAGCCTAACTTTCAACAGTGGTAGAAATACCCTATCTGTATTATAGCATTGTAACTGAGGAAGTTTAGGTTTTTATACTGATTAATGTAAACTTAAAGAGTGGCTACCATAAACAGCATAGAAACAGAATATCATCTGAAATATTTGCTTTTAATTATATTTATATAACAAAACACAAGGAAAATGTTATTTTATTAAAAGTGGTTATGTAAGAAAATAAATGTCCTTTTTTATGCACATATAGTAAATAAGACTAAAATGGCAACATCTAAGGTGTGCTCTAAAACACTTCTGTCTAAAATGGGGACAGGGAGGCAGGTGTAGCAAGGATGAAGATGTCAGTAACTCTCATCTCACTGATAAATATTGAGGTTTTGTTATACAACTTCCTCTGCTTTGTACTTATTGAACAATTTTACTAACAAATTAACAAATTTTAAGTTCTTAAAATTGATCAACTAAATCCAATAAAAATTTCTAAAAAGTCAATATATACATACCCCAAATAAATATTACTTATATTTTACAAATTAAATTCAAGTAAAAAGCTCAGAAAGTTATAAGCCTACAGACTTAAAATACAAAGCTATCCCCATGATTTTAATTTGGGATAGTTTCTATTGAATGTAACGGAAAATACAGTATTGTGAATTCCATACGCCTCCCCTAAACCCAGAAGTAAACTGGCTTCCTTTTTCTGTTTTAAAGATACCACATAGTATCTAGCAGCATAAAGATTGTAAATAAACTCAATGTAATTGAAAGATATTTTGTGAAAGAAGAGCTGTCATTGTGACTCACTTTAAATGCTTAATAACGATAATGACTTGACTTTGGTTCTGTCACAAGCTGCCCAATTGGCCAAGTACCTTTACTTTAGTAAATGGAACACTAAAAACACATCTGCTGGATGCCTCAGACGTTTTTGAAATAGTTCAATATTCCTACCACCATCCTGACTCCCTGGCCCCTAGGGTCCTGACCACTTATGAGTCCAGTGATATGCAACTGAAGTCTTCTAGAAACAAAAAGCTCGTGTTTGTTTATTCAGAATATAATATTCACCTCATCCATCCTTCTTACAATCCACAATCCTTCAATCAAACACAGAAACAAAACAAAACAAAAAACAAAGTCACCCACAGGTTTATTACTATTTTAGTTTGAAAAAACCAAACAAATTAAAAAACTCCACAAAGAACTCTGAACTCCACATACCAGAGAATAAAACAACTCTCCTTCATGTGCCACTCATCTGAACAAAAAGACGTCCAAAAAAACTATTCAAAGCTTTGTTTAAGAAGGCTATGTAACAGCTACATTTTAAGTTTCAAGACTTATTTGTTAAAGAGTTTTAAAATCTGGAATACATAAATAACCCAAATTTATATATAAATATATAAAAATATAAACATATTTTGCCTCCTAGCCTATTCTAAATTTGAATTCACTGTTTGTACATGGGAATTTTAATTTATTAAAAACAGAAAAGTCAGGCCGGGTGGTGCATGCCCTTAATCAAAGCACTTGGATGGCAGAAGACAATTGACAGATCTGTCACTTGGAGGCACAGTATGGTGTACATATAAAGTTCCAGGCAAGGGCTACATCGTGAGACCTTGTCTTCAAAGAAAGAAATGAAGAAACAGAAAACAAACCAACCAAACAAACTAAAACAAAAAAACATAAGAAACAGTAAGCCAAAGGGAAAAAATTATATCCTTAACCTTCAAATGCTTAAGTACATCCACATTTGAAATGATAACCATAAATAAAATACAGAAAACAATGAGCTTAATTCTTAAATAACACAAATACAAACTGTATAAATTGACTCTAAATTACTAGCTATTTAGGTATTTGTGTACAATGAATCTAGCATTTAACTTTATGCCTCCCTCTGAAATCCATTTTCCTGAATTAATATTTTGTATTCTTTTAATTCTCAAAAACTTCAATGTAAGTTGTAACACAGTTAACAGCTGTAAAGCTTCTGTCACAAACTCAAAACATCCATGATAGAGAAAATACCTAAGGACGCTGGTGACTTGCTTACTCAAGGCCACTTAGCCAGTGAGCAATCAAGGCGAGACATCAACTTTTCATTGTGAACATGAAGTTCAAGCTTTTTTCCACTATATAATTTGCCTTCCATTAGCAACAGTGAATATTCAGTAAATATATTCAAGAGGAATGCATAAAATTAAATGCTAGATTCACTATATACAAATAGCTAAATAGGTTTCATTTGATCCAAATATATGTTTTCAATATTTTAAACAATTTTTTATATTTTGCTTTTCTTTCATTGAGAAAAACAAATACAGGTTAATAGCTAATTACACAGGATTTGGAGGTGAAAAAGCAGGGACATGAAAAACGGATGAAAAAGTAACTAGGGAAGGAAAGATTTGAAAAGATCAAACAATTAGTATAGATACTAAATTTTTCATCCCCCTTTTAAATGTGCTTTCATTTGGAAGAGATTAATCAATGTCAGAGTTCAGTACACTGACACTCAAAACTTCATGTCTCTAAGGATTAAATAGAAAAATAATTTTCAAAATGTTTTGTCACAGAACATCTGTAAACCATGTACATAAGTTTAATGAGTGTTAATCAACATTCCCTTCCTCAGCAAGATCCTTGAAGACAAGGCCAGGACTAATTTAATTTTCTATTGCCTAGGAGTAACAATACTAGTCCCAGTTACTTTTCAAACAAGGAACTATGCTGCAAAGCTGGAAATATGTTGGGATTCCTCTAACTTGTAGGTCACTGAGCAAGTAAAATGTGCGATAAAAATGAAAGTTCATTTTAAGAATAACAAAGTTGTATAATAGTAAAAACACGAGCTAGGATAAGTCTGAAGGCAATAGAAAGTAAAGAGCATTTAACTATATAGTACTAGATGAGAAGAAACATTAAGAATGTTTCCTCCCTTCCATCTTCCATAATGAATATTGTGATAAAAAAACAAAACAAACAAACAAACAAAAAAAAAACCAAGCAAACGATCATATTCATCCAAGATCAACTGTTTCCACAATCACATTGTGGGATTCAAATGGTCCATCAGTACTCCCTATCACATAGGGAAAATAAAACACTACATATAATTTAACTTGATTTAGATGTACTTAACTCTCAAGTGGTAGGTAAGAAACCAATTTTAAAATACTTGTTTATGTAAGATAATACAAAACCATGCAACTTTACAAAACTGACACACCACCACCACTACAAAGTACTCCTGTCTCTGTTAGGCCATCAATACTCAAAACAGCGAGTTGGATTTAGTATTTTACTCTGTGAGACACTATGTAAAATGATTCCACAACGTATTTAATACACACAAACTCAAGTCATAGAGGTTATCCCCTCATAAAACTGTGCTCAGATGAAGAAACTGAGGGACACATAGGTTAAAGAATTTATGCCCGATTAAGATTAATGATTTACAGCTTTTCAAGTTAGCGAGTTAAATACATATAAGAGTTTAAGATTTCTGTAAGCATGTACATACAGCAGTTTCAACTCTCAATTCAGCATAAAAATTTGTAATCACCAAATCAATTTTAAAACAAACTAGTTTTTCAGCTTTAAAAATGTCCTAGGTCTAAGGTAAGACAAGCCACTGCACTGCTACTGGAAGGTTACAGTTATGAAACCCGAAATCCTCGCACATCGATTTTCTCTGCCCCCCTTTCCCACTTGTAAGTTAAATGACATAAAATTCTTAACAATGAACAGCTAATTTGATTTAAAACGTGTAACTTATAAATTCATGCACTTAATTATTTTTAATTTAAACATTACTCTATTGAGCAATTTAAAATATTTATGCTCCTGGCAATCTGTTAAGGGCCTCTACTAGTTCAACGAAGTAATTCGGATCAAATTTTAAGAATGAAGTACTACGTCAAAAATACGCATAAAGAAAAAGTACATATACTGCTTGGTAAAAAGAACTATACATCTAGTTTGATCCTATAAAATATAAGTGGCACAGTCACGTTTTCATCCTGACGGTAAAATGAACGTGACGATTTAGGAGGGTGAGAAAGTGGCTCGCAAGCTAGCTTAATAGACAGGGTCGGGCAAAAAACACTCGGCTGGGATTTGATGTAAGACTGGAAGCGATAAGCTGACAAAGGGGGAGCAGAAGCCAGAGTGAGGACTGAGCAGGCGGGAGGCAGAGGGCATGCAGCCCGCAAAGGGTGACTTCGGGCGTGGGCTGGCGGCCACAGGCTGCGGAGCCGCAGGAGCCCGGCCGCCAGCGGCGTGACATCTGGCGTGCTGAGCCGGCAGGGGGCAGAGCAAGCGGGGTGTCACGTGGAGCGGGTGCTACGGGAGCCGGGAGGGTAGTGAGGATCAGAGGGGGGTCTTCCCCAAAGCCTCAAAGACTTGCTACTCACTGGAGTCGCGGACTCTTCTTGCCCTGAGCAGGAGACGGGGGCTTCGTGGCCGTGAGCTGCTGCCCGGGGACGTCGGGAGGCCTGTTGCTGGGGCTGCTCCTCCGCCGGCGGGGATACTCGGCCTTCCTCCGGCGGGACACAGCGGCGGCGGCGGCGGCGGCGGCCGCAGCGGCCCGGCCGCGGTCCCGACCTCCCCTCAGCACGCGGCTGCTCGCGGTCCCTGCAGGCGCCGCCGCCGCCGCCGCCGCCGCGCCGGGCCGGAGCTCGTCCGAAGCCGCGTCGGCCGCCGCTGCCTGGCCCCTTTCCTGACCCTGCTGCTCCGGGGATCGCGGCTCCTCCGTCTCCCCCGGCATCGGGGCTCGTCCGTCCCCCACCCCTGCTTCCCAGGCGGCGGAGGCGGCGGCGCCCGCGGCGCAGCTCCCCCCGCCCCCCCTAGGCTCCCGGAGAGTCCGGCTCCCTCACTCCCCAGCACCGCTCTCCCCCCCCCGCCCCTCCGCCCGCTCCTAGGGCGCCCCCCCCGCCCCCTGCCACTCAAGCCTGCGACCGCCGGCCGCGCGCACGCGCGTACCCGCACACACCCGCAGTGGCCCAATCGGGAACGAGGGCCGGCCTCCTGGGCCCGCCCCTCAAGGTCTCACACGCAGTAGCGCACTAGGTGCCCTCCCCCACCCCTGCTTTCAACCAATCAGGAAACGGCTCCAAGGGAGAGCGCGAGGTTTCCTTCCCCGCGCACCCGTTCTCACCGTTAAACGGCTGCGTCTCGCGACAATCCTAAAGTGACTTTTTTTTTTTACCCCCTGAGGAGTTCAGCTCAAGCTAGGGGCGGTGGGAGGGGCAGGGCTGGCGAGGGCGGTGGAGAGGACAAAACGCACCTTTACCAGCTTCGCGCGCATCCAACCCCCCCCCCCGCCGGCTGCGCGCGCACCTGCCTCCCTGAGGCGCCACTGTCCCCTCAAGGGCTCTTACTAGCCTAACAAGTAGCCTGGACGTTACCCCGCTCCACCCGGACCCCCACCTTCTTGCTCTGGCTTTCCTGTCCCTAGCGCCGCCAGCTCTTGAGGGGAGAAGGGGTAAATTATTTGAGTTGCCGCTTCTCCTTTAAGAAAAAAAGGCCCCGTCCGTTGCCGGATGAAAGTCCCTGAAAAAATGGCGGCGATAGGCTAGGGGCGGGGCTAAGGGAACAGCGCGGGATAGTCTTGCTGCGCACGCGCACAGCTATCATACCCAACTGCATCCTGGGAAACGAAGTCCTATTTAGTCCGCTTCCAGGGAAAAGATGGGAAACTAGAGGCCGAGAGAAGTCTGGGAGTTTTTGAGAGATTCCCCACGGGAAAGGTAGTTTTCTCTGCACAGTCCTAGTTTACTTCCCAGAGAGGTACTGCTTCCGGGTTAGGCCGCGACGCCTGCGTGCAACTGGCACACATTTTGAGCCAATTACGGGCTAGGGTTGCGTGAGAGCCTAAACTACTTCATACTGTTAAACTTGGCGTTTGTGTTAGTGCTCTCGTCATAGCCCCCAGTTTAGTTTGGTCACTTGGCGTCTCCTCTGCGACCTGCTGTCATTCCTTCATCTTGTATTGATCCTCTCAGACGTGAGGCCCTGGAGGTCAGGGACTCGTTCTGCTTCTGCCACTTCAATTTTAATAAACCTCGTAGGGACGAATTGCAAAGTCGTCTCCTAGTAGGACTGAGCATCACTGAGCTGCGGTTGCGGTGGTCCTTCAGCTGGAGCTGGAGAGAGGGTTAGCGTGACTCCTGGTGATTATGCAGAGAAGCTAGCAGTGTCTGGTGTTCTCCGCCCCGACATTGCCTGCCTTTGCGGTTTGTAAATGTTTCCGCAGCACAGGAAGCACAGTCAGAACAGCAGCTTTTGACTAGCGTGTGCAATTAAGTACCTTCCTGATGGGTAAAGGGGGGTGGGGGGGATTTCCATTTGTTCAAGCCGCAGCTGGCAAATCTGCCGCCTCTGTGTCCCCTTCCTCTTACATTGTAGGCATTTCTTTCCCTTTTATACATTGTTTGCATTCCTTAGTTTCCTTTTTACACATTGTAACCAGGGAACAACTTGCAAGGGGATACTTTACCCGCCCCCCCCCCCATTAAAGTCTACACAAGAGGATGGCGATACAAGGTTTGGGGATCTAATTCTGAATTTTACATTAAACTGTAAGTGTGCAGTGAAATTCTTTTTTCTTTGCAGCGTTTGGCTCATTTGCCACACAGATAAGGCGAATGCTTTATGGTGTGTATTGAGGCTTTGGCTCTTTCAAAGGACTAGTGTCATTTTCAGTTGTAAAAACTAACAGCGTTAGTAGGAACGATTGTTCAATCTATTTACAATGAGCACATTGGGAACAGCACTGACATCCAATGGCTGCTTAAAGAAATACAAAAAGCAAGCTCTTAAAGACCAGCTTGTTCTCTTTGTAGTTTTCTCAAGAAGCAACACACTCATTTCTACAGTGGTCAGTTTATATTTCTAACAGTGACGTATCCTATAGCCCTTAATTGTGTGTGTATAGTCTGTCATGTATTTTCATACGCTCTTATTTGTATTTCTTTTGGTCTTTTCTCCTAAAATAAAATTTAAAAATTGCAAAGAAAAGAGTTCTTAGTAAAACGACTGACTCATTCCTTTAAATAAATGAGTGTAGTCACTCCAGAATAAAGATAACATACTGAAGTACAATTGGATTATATACTAAGTAGTAAGGCTATCTATTTTGTTCTTTTAGTCAGTTACTATTCTTTGTGCCCATTTCTCTACTGGTTAAACCAGAGAACAAAATCCACCTTAATTATAGTTCTTTACATACTGACTTTCAAGGTGGGCTTTCTTTCCTGGAGATGAACTAAGGCTTGGGGATAAGACATTGACCTAGCTCATTTTTTGAAGAAGTTGTTACAAGGCAGTGTGAGTAATTCAGATTTTAGTGCCTAGTATCTTAAATTCTTTGGCTTGATTCTTCCTTTGCCTGCAGGTGTTTGCATTTTGAATAACTATAAACCGATACTAGAGAATTCAAAAGTAAACTCACTTGTATTCAACTGTAAAGAATTTATAATCTGGGCCAGTGGGTTGCTCTGAAGATGGTACTTTGCTGACATGTCTGATGAGTTTCATCTGTGGGACCCAGATGGTAGAAGGCTTGACTCCCACAACTCAGTGTCTACACACACACTCACACTCACATGCACACAAATGTAATTTTAAAAAGGTTTTTGTTTTTTGTTTGTTTTGTTTTCTTGAGACAGGGTTTCTCTGTTTCTCTGTATAGCATTGGAGCCTGTCCTGGTACTCACTCTGTAGCCCAGGCTGGCCTTGAACTCACAAAGATCCACCTGCCTCTGCCTCTCAAGTGCTGGGATTAAAGGCATGGGCCACCAATGCCCAGCTGAGTTTTTGTTTTGTTTTGTTTTTATAGTTTGTTGGGGAAATCAGGTCAGCATGACTTCTGAATAAGAATGTAGAGATAATGAAATGAAGTTGGTGCTGTTCAATCAGAAATTTTAAGGAAGGAGCCTATGCTTCCATGGTTCTCTCTCCAGGAGAAAAAAAAAAAAAAAAAAAAAAAAAAAGGAAGCCAGCAGTGGGCAGTGGGATACTTAAACTTGGAAAAATTAAGCCCTTGTATGTGGTAGGTGTTTTAAATTTGAAAAATCAACTTTCATCCTTTAAAACCACCCTGGAAAATGTAGCATCAAAACCTCAATCTTGCGCAGCCTGTCTTTCTCTGTCAGTACTATTTTTAAGGAAAACTGAGCTACTAGAAAAGAAAAGAAAACAACTCAACAAATCAAAAGTGAGGAAGTGCTAAGCAAATTCAGGAACCAAAAAGGGTCATAGAGGCTGCTTCACACTGTCTCATTCAGTTCCGTTGTGGTCCTCTTCTTTACCACATGCCAAGGCAGTTCTTCATAATCTTCAGGACTAGAGCACTGTGGCTGTAAGACAATGGAGGAGCTGGGTGAGTGAGGGGCTTTGGAGGATGCTCTAAAGAAGTGCGGACATGGTTTCTGTCCATGTGTGATGATAGTTTTGGTTGAACCAAGGATAGTGCTGAGAGATTTTGTTTTCACGTCTGTCCTCAGTTCAAAAAAGAGTGAGGCAGGAGGAACTATGATTGTTGGGGAAACTATGGAGTCCCTGTTTGCAGAGGCACAGTAGGCAGATGGTAGAGAGAACCACAGAACAGACACCCAGAGAAGCACTTTTAGAAGGAAATATAATTGAAAGTGGATTTCCCCTTGGTAGCTACTGGAGATCACAGAGTGGCTCCACACTTAGGTGACTGTGGAAATAGGAGAAAAATAAGATTGGGAAAGGGAGAGGAAATAAAATGAAGGGAAGGGAGAAGGAAGGAAGGAGGAAGGAGAAAGGAAAAGAAAACAGGAAGGAGAGTATAGGGGACGGACAGTGAAATAACAGTGCAGAGTAACAAAAGGGTCTATAAAAGTTGCAGAAAGGCCAGAATGGTTCCATTCCTCCATAGTTTAGAGAGGCATCATTTCTGTAGTGGTTCTTGTTTTTTATTTAGAGATATCTTGACGGAGCAGATTACTTGGGCAGAAATACAATCCTGAGGTCATGTAAGCAATAGTGGGAAGTGTCAACAGCTGCCTTGCCCAGAGAAATCACAGATTTCAAAACGTTTTGGAGCTATAAAGCCTGCCTCCTTGGGAGGCAACTTTTATTTATTTGTAGTATCCTTAACATCAGGTTACTAACTTTCACCCTGTTTTCGAGATGTATTAATTCCACATTGTCTGTGTAGCTATTCGAAAACTGCCAGCAATAACAAAATGTATAGCTTGTACATTGTCTTTGAAAAGAATTATTGGGGGTTATATTTTAAGAGCTAGAGAAACAGGAAAGAAGAGGAGAGAAACTAATTACAGAAGAAAAGGAGGTGTTTAATAAATGCTGAATTGTTTTGGCAAGAAAATGTATTTTGATACTGTGGTAAAAGCTGTACTTTGGACTTTGATGTAGAATCCAGATTTTTCTATATAAAATTGTTATTCTTTGAGAATTTGATGCATGTGTATCCTGTGTGGGTATTGAGGAAATTTGCATTTCTTCATGGAATTTTATCATTTTTTTTCAGAGAGGATCTTATTTTGCTTTATCTTATGGACATTAAATTTTTATTCAAATTTAGTTCAAAAAATTAAAAGACAACTAATATGGGGAAAACTTAAAATACATTGAGATTGATTAGTTTAGTGTTTGCAGCAACATTCTGAAATAGGTATTATTATTTTCTTTAAATAAAGACAAAATATTCTGTTCACTGTCAGGTTCTCCTGACACTAACAATAATTAAATGACAATGTTGTGGGTTGTTTTCCTATGTTAGAAGTGTGTTTGTTCTGGTGACCAATGGAGTAATAAACATTTTTTTAAAAATATGTGTATTTTATATTTTCTGAGTAGAATAGTTGTTAGGGAAATTTTGTTCAGAGATGTGGAAAGCATCTCTGATTATCAAGGTAGCTACACGTCAAAGGACTGCTGATGGCTTCACCTCAATGATCTCTTCAGATTGTTACCATTTGCATGGAGTATGGTGTTGCCCTCATGTATTCCCAGTGCTCTAGAGGCAGAAGAACTGCAGTTTTCAGTCTAGTTTCACTCACCCCCAGCAATCTTATCTTTGTCACACCGAAGTTAGTCATCTAATTTAAATTATAGAATCTGCATGAAGCAAGAAGAGTAGCCTCAGGGTAGTGGTGAAAATGTGCACTCATTGGAAGCAGGGAGCGAAAGTCCTGTTAACTCAGAAGCAGAAAGGAGAGTTTTAATAGACTTAGTGAGCTGATGCCTCTAAAGATTGCTTCATGCCAGGGAAGGGCCTAGGTCCAGCCCCAAATGATGTGACAGACTTTGATGATCCCCTTGGGAGGCCTTACCTTCCTGGGGAGTGGATGGGGGTGGGATGGAGGGTTGGTGGTGGGCATGGGAGGATGGGAGGGAGAGAAAGCTGGGATTTGTATGTAAAATAAGATTGTTTTTAATTTCAATAAATATTTTTAAAAAATAACAAAAGATTGCTTCATACCTCTTTTGAATTGAATGGTACTCCTGCCCCACAGTCTTTAATATAAATGGATTCTATTGATTCAGGAAGGCCTCTGAATTCTGATTGGATCAAAGCTTAAAAAATGAAAAAGAGAATGACTGTTGTAACAAATGTAGAATAAAATGTTGGGACTCTGAAATTCAAAGTTGAGTCTGGCTAATAAAACTCAGAGATAAAACTTTTGCTTTATTGTGTGTGTGTGTGTGTGTGTGTGTGTGTGTGTTTTCTCTAAAGAAAACCCCTTTCATTGTAGAGAATTTAAAAATAAACAGAAGTAGAGGAAACATTTTAATGGAATATAAGCCTTCTGATCAGTTTCCACAATCATCAGCTCCTGACAATCTTCCTTCATACAGTTTTCAAGAGTTTTCAAGAAATTTCATGTCTTTCTTTCTTCCTTCCTTCCTTCCTTCCTTCCTTCCTTCCTTCCTTCCTTCCTTCCTTAAATAAAGATGCGGAGTTTCCAGGGTGTTTTGGCTTGTCCACCAGAGAACCCAGTCTAGGTTGATCTCATTTTTCCTGTGTCTGTATGTCCTAAATGTTTGTCCTATCTTCATTCCTTAACACCCCGGATAGATAAAGCCCAGAAGCTACACAGAGCAAAACAATAACTATGTCGATTTTGTATAAATAAAGCTTTGAGGTCAGAGGCCTGCACTTTTCCCTTTGCCAGTCTTCCTGTGTAGGTCTGGGTCGGCCTCTCAGTAGCCTGTGTGCCTTCTTTGTATGTTCAGCTTGTGTGTACCAAGGTCTGCTTGGGTGCCTGCTCAGTGGACTCTGTGCCAGTCAACAAACTGAGTCTTATCTAGACACTAAATTTCTTATCTGTGAAATATTTCAGCCTTAATCTATTACATAAATATGTATATGTTTATAAAGACAACCATACTAACACTATCACACCCACAATACTTAATAACCTCAATGGTGGCTCCTCAATGTCATGAAATGACATTATCACAGCTGAAATTAACTGGTCACTTTAATGTTAATATTTTCAAATTCCTAAAATTTAATATTATTGATTATACAGTATTAGATATTCTGTAAAAAAAAGTTTAAAATTTTATTATTTTATAATTTGTTTTCTTATGCATATAAAACCAATGCTAATCACTAAATTCTGATTTGCCCAAGAGGATTTATTTTTGTAGTTGCCTTTAAGTTTTTGATTGCAAGTTCAGCAAAATCTCACAGAAACACTATCTTGATTGTTTTATTTTTTAAAGTTTCTTGACTGTTTTATTTTTTAATTGAAGTTATGATCTAAATTTAGATCTCTTATTATTTATTATATATGCGCCCCTTTCTTTCTTTCTTTTTTTTTTTTTCTTGTCAGTTTACTTATTGAAGGACAGTCTGGCCTAAAGAGATTAGTCTAGTTCGGTTATTTCTGAAATGGTGTACTAAGGTCAAAACTCTGTGATATGGATGATTGAGAAAGTTCTACAAAAGATTTCTTTTGTGAAAACAAATGATTAGATCTTCCTTATAATATTGAGAAATATGCAAACTTGACCAGGGCATGTGTCTTAGTGGCATGTTAACTTACTTTTGTCTAGTGTACATAAGTTCCTGGCTGGGTTCAGCATTGTAAAGAGGAAAGGTAGTGTGGGTAAGACAGTTTTGGAGCTGCCCCATGATGTCACACCCGCATAATTCCTCAGAAGTGGAGGCAGGAAGATTATGAGTTTTAGGCCAACCTGGCCTACTTGGTGAATTTCAGGTCAAATTGTTCTGTGGTAGCCTCTCTTAAGAACTGGGTAGGCCAAAACCCAGTACTCTCCTAATATGAAATATACGAACATGTCTGTTTTTTAATGGCATAAGTTCATTTTCTTCATTTGAGAATTTCAGAGCTAGTCAGGTCCTTAGAAATATACAGTCTAATGTTTTGCAAGCTTATAAAATCTAGCATATATTTTAAAAATCCACTGAAGTTCAAAAGAAGACACTAAACTATCTTGAATTGCAATTTGAAAAATATTATTCCATCCAGTTGCTTCATTATGTAGATGAAGAGAGATGGTCAGAACATGCTGTGCTTAAGATGACTCAGACAATCTGGTGATGATGTCAACTTCAACTTACATGTTGGTGGCGCTCAGATAACTCCCCCTGGAGCACTGATGCTGTGTTCAAGAGCCTGTGAGAGCTGCACTCTCTCTCTGTCTCTGTCTCTCTCTCTCTCTCCTGTATATGAAATAAGGGCAGTAATGTCCTCTACCTCAAAGTGTTAAGATAACATTCTTCATATACTGTGATTGGCATAGGTTAATAATTTTCATTAATCATTGTGACATTACAATAAGGCATTAGCAAAATGCTTGTGATATCTATTGGCATTTTCCCAAGAAAACTGTAAAAGAAGTCCTAATTAATTGGATTGCTACATCTTGCTTGATTGTACAATACTTTAATTTTTTTCAACTTCTTTTTCTTTTTACATCCAGAGAGAACAACAACAAAACACTAATACTTGACTTTTTTTTCTTGTTATATTCTTGGGCTAATCCTTCAGATATTAGACTAAAAAAGTCAGGATTAATGTTTGGCTTCCCTGCTGTGTGGAATGAATTGTATGAAAGAATTAAGAAAAAAAAAAAGAATTTTGCCTGTTGGTCTATTTTGAGAAACCTTATATTTTTCTTTGTGTGTGTGTGTGTGTGTGTGTGTGTGTGTGTGTGTGTGTGTGTGTGTTCTACCTAACTGGCTAAAATACCTAGAAGCCAAATTATAAGAAGCCAAATTTGGTATGGAGGGAAGGAGATATTTGCAAATTGTAATTCAAAACAAGAAGAGAATATTTAAGAAGAAAACAACTCTGGAAATGCACACATTCTACATTAAACTCCTTTCATTTCCTGTGATATAGATGCCTTATTGGAGGAATTGGAACGCTCCACTCTCCAGGACAGTGATGACTATTCTAACCCAGTTTCTTGTCACCCGGGTCAGCAATCCAAACAGGAGAGCGAGCTTCCCAAAACTTCATCTCAGAGTCACACAAGTCCCTTGAAGGTAATATTTCATCTATTGTAGTATTGTAGACAATATTTGACTGTATTTCTGAAAACTGTATCCCACATAAAATTATATTAAGGGAGCAACATATGTTCAAGACAGAAAAATAAAGTATCATTTCAATATTAAAGACAGGTGCTTTTGGAAAGAGGAGAATTGAGGACATGACCATAGAGCATGCCTTTGAAACTCTCTTCTAGCAGAATATTGCCTGGTTCGTGTTAGCTACTGTGTTGTTGCTCCCTGGCTACCAGAAGTGCCATGTTATAGTATGACTGGAGTCATACCCAGTAAGAGCAGGGATAACTTTGTATTTTAGTCTAGTCTTTTTGGGGTGACTGTACAGCTATTACTTTGTTGGTGTTTTTTTTTTGTTTGTTTCGTTTTGTTTTGTTTTTGTTTTTCCTGATGAATAGATTCAGAGAGCTATTGTTGAAATTCTTAGACTATACCCATAGCATCTTCATGTTCTCCTGCATAAATAACTGCACTTTATTATCACAAAGCAGCCTCATGGAGGCAGTCTTCTGCCCTCGCTCTGGCAGTGGTTTCCCAGCTCATTTGCAGTAGAAGGCACAGTGTGGGCACTGGATCCGTGTGGATGACCACATTTTTTTTTTTTACTTGCAAGAGTCCTGAGCCTTTGCTTATTTTCCTGACATCTCGCTGATTTCCTTTCATGTAATATTTTCAATCATTTTTTGAAGTTTTATTATTAGCATTTGCATTAATATATTAATATGATTATGGCTAACTCCAAAAGTGATTAAGAATGACTTCCTGATCTTGTTCAGACAAAACCTCAGTAACATCACCCTTTCATGACAGTATTCAAGGAGATGACTATGAAGTCAAAGAGTGCAAACAGGAGCTAACTCCTCCAGTCTTAGGTGGTAGCAGAAGAAATATGCCTGGCCACTTGGTATGCTTCCAACCACAGTCTGCTATGGGCCATGTGATGCATACTTGGAACATCTGGAGTCAGTAAGTGATAAGGAAATCACACTTAATGACATAAAGATGATCTCCAAAAAATAGAATTTAGTATTCTTGTCATCACAAATATACTGTGAATGTTATTAAAGCATTTCATACTTGCTTTTGTAACTTTCTAAGTGTTTTATTTTTCTTAGCACTTAAGACATCTTCATATTATTAATTTTTTGTCAGTTGGATTAAAATAAAACAGAAACAACATCTTTAGATTTTATTTTCTCACAGGAGTTATAAGGACTGTGTAAATTTGGTGTTTTCTAGTCACCAGTGGGAGTGAGGAGAGATTTCACTGTCCCTCTGAAAATCAGGAGACAAGAAAGGTGAAGAAGAACTAGCATGTACTTTAGATTTGATATTTAACTTCAGAAGCATGTTCTGAAGATGACAGTTCATGCATAGCTGCAGGAAGTGAGTTTGCAGATCACTGTGATATGCACGTTTCCACTTCAAGAAAACCACTCGTGTAAACATTTTTTGCTCATTTTCAATTCCACATTTTCATCTGCTTACAACCAAAGTGGAAGTAGATTCTCTCTGAAAACCATCAAATAATGTCAGTCTTAAATCACTGCCACCAGAGGTGTCAATTAGAAAATTAAAGCATCCCAACCTCTTTTATTCATTTTTCTCCCAATATACAGCATTAAAATAAAACCTCTGGAAGTTAATTTTCCTGTTAAAAATACACAAGCAACATTATTAATGCCAGTACAATGAGTTGAAAAAGTATTGAAGATAGCAAAAATTTCTGGTAAGAATAAGAAAACAGACTGTTTGTGGAACACAGCATCAGGGTAATGTGTTCTTACCAACTTAAATCCAGCAGAGCAGAAATGAATTTGGAGCTGGTTGTAAAGTGCACAGAATTCTTGACTTCATCAAAAACAAATAGCGGCATTCTGCCTATCAAAACTGAAATTATCAAGACTGGCAAATGTCATGCTAGTCATTTATTTTCTTAGGAGTGACATGAAATATAATCTAAGTACAGCTATATAAATTTTCTCTATGTGTTGGCTCTTATTCTCTGGGTTTTGGAAATGTCCCATGCTCATTTCATAAAGCTTAGGTTGCATTGTGTGCAAAAGCAGCTTAAGAGCTGTAATCAAATTATCCAATCAATATAGAATGAAGAAAGTGCTTTTTCAAATCTGAAATAATATCCAATAGAGATTAGCAAAAGGAAGCAGCTCCAATTTTTCCTCCCAGCAAAACCCAAAAGATGAGAACTCATGTAGCTCAAGTGCTTAATTTGAAAATGTGCCTCTAAAAAATCTTGGCTTTGATGGATTTTTTATTTTATATTATTGGACACATTTATAAACCAAAATGTAATCAAATTATGGAAGTCAGTGATCTTGCTCTTACCTACCCCTTACAAGATATGTTAAAAGATCCTAAACAGAGACAATTTCAAAGTTAGTAGAATGTTAATGGAGAAAGATGCTGTGAGTGGAGGTGGCTGAAAGAAGACACATGGGTATATTGTCTTGGACAAAGGGGAAGGCCAAAGGCCTGGGGGCAGGTGAGAATACAAGAGAGGTAATGGGATGGACAGAAAGCAAATATTGCCTTTTATGTTATATGTCTTTGATGTATTCTATATATAAGGACAAAACAGAGACTTGTGGAGTGGAATTAACCAGAGGGACAGTGAAGGGGGCCAAGGAGGGTAGTGGGAAGGCAAATACAATTAAAGTATATTAATATACACATATGAAAATGTCCTACTGAAGTCTATTATTTTATGCAGTAAGAAAATTAATTAAAGAAGATATCTTCCTGAATGTATTTACACATCTTTGTAGAGAAACCAGAATTGAGAATATGTATCATAGAGCAGAATGTACCCTGAATGTTCAAGTTCGTCAGTATTATAGAGATCACATCCCTACTAAAAGCACTATGCCCAAGTTAAAGATAACATCAGTCTCAGATCTACTAACCAAGAAAGGCAGCTTTGAAGAACACTACAAATTAAAAAAAAAAAATGACAGCATCATATATATTTTTAAAAATCAGCATTTTAAAGGAAAACTCCTAAATCAAAAGGTTAGAGTCAACAATAACCAAGCTAGTGATTAAAGTATGTGACTATATATTTTGTGAAATAGTTTTCTTATGCTGTTTTAAGTGTTTAAGTAATAAAATAAATTCTTAAGAAGTTTCCCATCATGTGTATAGCTATATGTTGTTTTAAGTTATTTGGGGAAAATCTGTGTAGAAAATAAGTCCCTCCAGGCATGGTGGCTTGCATTTGTTATCCTAGCAAATTCAGGAGGATCAGAACTTCAAGACTAGCTTCAGCTACATAATGTCTGATGCTGGCCTGGGCTACAGGAGACTCTCCCCGCCCCCGCCCCCCCCCAAAAAAAAAAAAAGAAAGGAAGAAAGAAAAGAAAAAAAGAGGTTTTGAGCACAATTTTATTATTTCTGTTGTGATTATTTTGAGACATTTACCATGTAACTCAGGCTGGCCTCAATCTTGTCTCAGTTTCTCCAGCGCTGTGGTTAAAGGCATGAAGGCATGAGCCGCCACACCCTTGCCATGATTAGAACTATTTTATAGGCCCACCAATACAACACAACCAAGTTTTTTTTGGCTAGGGAATTGTAGTACATATATTTGTAATATCATCACTTAAAACAGAGACAGATGACTGCCAAGGATGCCTCTGGATGCTATCTGTCTCCAATTAGGAAGCAAGAGAGTGCCTCTTAGTCCCCAGACCTAGTCCTCCCAGGTCAGGTCCGGACGGTACCTGTCCCCACCCCCAATGGGCGTGGTCAGTGCAACAGGTACTGCTGGGGTATCTCACTACATTGCACCACCACACCAGGTTCATACAGTGCTTGGAGTAGAATCCAGGGCCTCGTGGATTCTAGGCAAACACTCCACCAACTGAGCTACATCTTCATTCCCCAGAGTATTTGGTTTTAGTGTGATTGTTTCATGTTGTGGCTTGGGTATAACATCCTAAGCCCTGGAACATATCAGTTACTCAGTATCTGTTGAATGAATAAATAGATGGATTGCTGTTCAGCCACATCTTTGGTTGATAAATTATTACTTTTCCTAAGGAAAGTTTGAGCTATAGCCTTCCCCTAGGCACCATTGTGTTTAAAAGGGCTTTTCCCCAAGTCACCATATTGTTTTTTTGCTTCCTAACTGAGGATGATACAACTCTTCATATTTTGTTTTTAAAGCAGGGAGGCTAGTTGTTGTTCAGATGCCAACTTCCCTGTTGAGAATTTGTTTTTTCTCTGCATGATGGGAGGTAATTCTGCCTTTGGAAACTTTTAAGCAATATACTAATTGTTACTTTTATTGCTTATTATTATTATTTGCTTTGAGACAAGGTCTGCCTAGTCTCATACTCATGCTTCTTTTTCCATAGCCTCCCCAGTAGCTTGGATTACAAGTGTGTACCACCATGCCATTCTAGTTATCCCCTTTGGAAGCTGGACTCCTCCCTCCCTCACTATGTTGATAAGCACTACCATTCTAAAACAGATGTCACTGTTTGATCTTTTCTGTCACTTATGTCTCAGGTGCAGCTTATGTATACGACCAATATCCAGGAGCCCAATGTCTACAGGTATGCTTTGGTTTCTAACAAGTGATTTCAAAATTTAAAGTTATCAGGTAAGTATTATTAGTATTTGCAATTATTTGGTTTTTAAATATTATTATTGAACTTGCTCTAAAGTGTGTCTCTTCCCATAGCCTTAGAATGCGGGCAGAACCCTTCTAAGCTGACTTGGCAGCTTCTCAAGATATCTTTCCTCCAGACAGGTGTCCAGGCTGGGGCGCGGCAGGGGAGGGGAGGGGAATCTCTACATTTTCTTTACCACCTGAAAATGATGGAAAGTTCCAGAGTCAGCACAGATGTTTTGACACTTAAGTTCCAGGTGTCATGCAACAGTGCTCGAAAGAGGAAACACACCTGAATAAACTTAAGCAAGGGTCCAACAAAGTCAATGCTAGGACTAGGGCTACATTAAAACAAGAAGGGTCCATCACAGACAAATGAGTGTGTACTTCTACTTTCTAGGTCTGTTTGAAGTATAAGGGTGTCTCTTTAGTAAAAGTTATACATGGAATTGATTCACTTGCTAAACCATTTTCTCTTAGTTAAAGAGAATCTGCATTCTAAAACAGACTGGAAACAGAAAGGCCACCTCTTTGGTTTCTCTCTTTAATTGTATCTTTCATTAAAACAAATTATGTTCTTTTTTAAGGATTTGTGCTTGGAATAGAGTGTTCCACTGCACTATCTGGTCTCAGAATCACAGCACATAGAGCACAAATGGGAGGCTAAAACAGAGAAAGGATTTGAGGTACATGAAGTCATTTAAAAACTTCCCAGCTGAGGTCACTTTCTACTGAGGTGGGAGGGAACCTAGTTTAATAATACACATTACCTATTTGTTCCAGCTCAAGGAAGTAGTGGGTGAACACTTCTCCATTGTCTTCGCCTTCCTGTTGTAGTTAAAAAGCAAACAAGAAAACAGTGCCCATATTCAAGAGGCCTCAGCAAATGTGTTTTCTTAAGATGTCAATAGAAATACACGTGAATACTCAAATATATAACATGAAAACCAGTCTGAGCACCAGATACTTTCCAGTATGTCTGGAATTGTGATCAATTATTTGCTCACAATCCTATCCTATGGACACCCTCCTGCTATAGCACTGGGTCACTGGCCCCCATCCTTTTTTTTTTTTTTTTTTTTTTTTCCTATGCTTTGTTAGTTAGGGCCAGGCCATTTTTGTGAAGGTCTTTCCTTTAACTTGTTTTTCTAGATTTTTGTTCTCCCCAAGCTTATAGCCAATTCTATATATAGGCTCACACTAACAGACTGCCCCCTCAGCACACACACACACACACACACACACACACACACACACACACACACCAGCCAGCTATCAGAGATAGCTTGACTGTAAGCAAAATACATGGGCTTGTTCATCAGTCATGTGGTATAGAACCTCCTCTTTTTTTCTAAAATATATAAGGGACTCCCTCTGCCCTGTGGATCTGAACTCTCCTCAGAGCCCCCACAGTGCTGCCTTCTGCTTGTTGATCTATGGCATTAATACTTCCTTAAATAAATCCTACCCAAAAAGCAGTCATCCTTAGGATTGTTCTTGAGCCCTAACTTCTAACCTTCCATGCTTTAGGGATCTGGCACGAGTGGTTGGATATTTGAGGCCCCAGGACAGTTGGCTATCATGAACTGGGACCAACAAGAAGTGCTGGAGAGACTGGTAGATGCAGAGTAGGAAAATGCAGGGCACTTGCCCTGGTCCTGGCCCTTGACTTGCCAGTGTTTCTCAGCAGCTGCATCCCTGTCAGCTGAGCATGACAGTCTGCTGGCATTCCAGTGCACTGAACAGAGGCCCTGCTCTTTGATGATGATGTCATACATTTTGTCCTTTTAACTTAGGGGTGGGTGGTGATGACTTGCTGCTGTGGGTTTCTGGTAATTCCAGTGTCTTTCATTTTGCTTTTTAGCTCCCTAACCATCTGTGTAATTGATTTTCTATATTAATTCTATTTGTTTACTCAAACTTGCTTATATTATCTGGACTTGGATGCTTTTACTGGTATATTATTCATTACCAAGCCACACTTAAATTGGATTTTTGTGTGGGAGAATGATATAAAACCCATCCATAACTATGTGGAACTTTTTAATAAATTTCCTAGGTGGTTGTGATTTTGACCTCTGAACAGTAGCATGACAACACAGAATGCTAAACTCAGAAGCTATATTCCCACATCTGTTTCCACCATATATTCTGGGTTGCATAAATGAGCTGCACACTGCTCTCAGTAAACCTTGAAAGTGTGCTTAGTAGCAACTGTGACTGCAGCACTGGGATGTTTTTAACCACTGTACATCAATGGCAATATGGCAGTAGTTTATAAACATATTTACTACATGAGCATAAAGAGCAGTTCTGGTAATATGGAGGAACAGCTCACAGAATATAACAGGATTAAACATAGGAAAACTCAGCACGATGAAGCACCTTTGTTGGGAAGAGTACATTCTATACATTCTTTCAAATATGTGTGTATTGTGGTCTGTATTATTACAGTCTCCAAATTACAAAGTAGCTGTGGCTCATGATGTAACAAAGCACTTTTGCTACATTTAAAAAGCCAGAAACAGATCAGATGTCTCTAATGTGAAGTTTCTCTCTTTTCAAGAATATTTCCTATAATGGTCCTTTAATTTGTAACCGTCAGCTCTTCAAGTTTTCATTTTCAAGCAGAATAGTATATTGCTGGGTCAGCTAATGCTAGAGAATCTTGACAATGGCCCCTTGTTTTTATATGCTGTACATGGACTCTAGGTTAAAAAAGTGTGGGCATTTCTTTGAACATGAACAAATTTTCATTTGTGAAGTCAGGAGGCTTTATGAATAAGCAGGCCCAGGTAAAAATTGACATTTGGAGCTGGGGAGATACCTCAGCAGGTAAATATTACTTGAAATGTTTTTTAATCTTTGGCTCTTTTGGAGGCGCCCACCACCCAGTTCCCAAATAAATCATAGAAAGTCTTATTATTACTTATGAGTGCCCAGGCTTATCTTGGCTTGTTTCTTGTCAGCCTTTCTTGTCTTTAAATTATCCCATTTACCTTGTTCCTCTGGGCTTTTATCTTTCTTACTTCTGTATATCTTACTGTCCTTACTCCTTGGCTGGCTAGGTGACTGACCCCTGATGGCCTCCTCTGCTTGTTCTCTCATTGAGCCTCCCTTCCTTGTTTCTCCTATTTATAGTCTTTGCCTGCCAGCCCTGCCTATCCTTGTTCATGTCTAACTATTGGCCTTTCAGCTCTTTATTACAGCTATCAGGTGTTATTGTTTGTATGTTTGTTTTTGATAATTTTTAAAAATTTAAATTTGAAACAAGCTTGTTTTACATGTCAATCTCGGTTCCCTCCCCTACCCTCCTCCCCTGTCTTCCCTACCAACTCCCATCCCATCTCCTTTCTGCTCCCCAGGGAGGGTGAGGCCTTAATGGGGAAACTTCAAAGTCTGTCATATCATTTTGAGCAGGGACTAGGCCCTTCCCCATGTGTCTAGGCTGAGACAGTATCCCCCTGTGTGGAATGGGCTCCCAAATTCCATTCGTATACTGGGGATAAATACTGATCTACTACCCAAGACCCCATAGACTCCCCAGTCCTCCTAACTAATGCCCTCCTTCAGGTGGTCTGGGTCAGTCCCATGCTGGTTTCCTAGCTATCAGTCTGGGGTCCATGAGCTCCCACTTGTTAGGTCAGCTGTGTCTGTGGGTTTCTCCAGCCTGGTCTTGACCCCTTTGGTCATCACTCCTCCCTCTCTGTAACTGGATTCCAGGAGTTTGGCTCAGTGTTTAGCTGTGGATCTCTGCTTCTGCTTCCATTGGCTACTAGATGAAGGCTCTACGATGGCATATAAGGTAGTCATCAATCTCATTATCGGGGAAGGCTATTTAAAGTAGTCTCTCCAGTATTGCTTAGATTGTTAGTTGGGTTCATCCTTGTAGGTCTCTGGACATTTCACTAGTGTGAGAGTTTTCTTTAAATCTATAATGGCTTCCTCTAGTATGGTATTTCTTTTCTTGCTCTCTTCAGTTCTTTCCCTGACTCAATCTTCCTGCTCCCACACGTCCTCCTCTCCTCTCCTCTCCTCTCCTCTCCTCTCCTCTCCTCTCCTCTCCTCTCCTCTCCTCTCCTCTTCTCCTCTTCTCTTTCTCTTAACTCCCTCTCCCTTCCCCCATGCTCCCAATTTGCTCAGGAGATCTTGTTCCTTTCCCCTTCTCTGGGGGACCATGTATGTCTCTCTTAGGGTCCTCTTAGTTTCCTAGCTATTCTGTTGGTGTGGATTGTAGGCTGGAAATCCTTTATGTTTAAAATCAATATATGAGTGAGTACATACCATGTTTGATTTTTTGTGACTGGGTTACCTCATTTAGGATGGTTTCTTTTAGTTCCATCCATTTGCCTGAAAATTTCAAGATTCCATTGTTCCCTCCCTGTAGTACTCCACTGTGTAAACATACCACTTTTTTTTTTTTTTTAATTTAAATCCACTCTTCAGTTGAGGGGCATTTAGGTTGCTTCCAGTTCTGGCTGCTATGAATATAGTTAAGCAGATGTCCTTGTATGAATGTGCATCTTTTGGGTATATGTCTAAAAGTGGAATTACTGGATCTTGATGTAGATTGCCATTTTCCTGAGGAACCACCATACTGATTTCCAAAGTGACTGTAGGAGTTTGCACTCCCACCAGCTGTGGAGGAATGTACACCTTTCTCCACATCCTCTCCAACATAAACTGTCTTTGGTATTTTTGATTTTAACCATTCTGACAGGAGTAAGATAATATCTCAGGGTTGTTTTGATTTTCATTTCCCTGATGGCTAAGTGTCTTATAGCCATTTTAGATTCCTCTATTGAGAATTCTCTACTTAGTTCTGTACCTTACATTTTAATTGGATTATTTGGTGTTTTGATGACTAGTTTCTTGTGTTCTTTGTATATTTTGAAAATCAGCCCTCTGTCAGATGTGGGGTTGGTGAAGATCTTTTCCCATTCTATGGGCTGCTGTCTGTTTTTTCTTGTTGACTGTGTCCTTTGTCTTACAGAAGCTTTCAATTTCAGGAGGTCAAAAATCCGGTGTTCATAGGCGTGGGGGGGGGGTTAATATCAGGGTTTTCAATTCAATTCCACTGGTCTGCCTGTCTATTTTCATGCAAATACCAAGCTGTTTTCAGGACTATAGCTCTATAATAGAGCTTGAAGTCGGGGATAGTGATGCCTCTTGAAGTTTCTTTATTGTACAGGGTTGTTTTGGCTATCTTGGCATATATATATATATATATATATATATATATATATATATATATATGTTGTGTTTTCAACGTCAGTGAAGAATTGTGCTGGGATTTTGGTGGGGATTGCATTGAATCTTTAGATTGCTTTTGGCAAGATTGCCATTTTTACTATGTTGATCCTACCTATCCAAGAGAATGGGACATCTTTCCATTTTTAGGTATGTTCTTTAATTTCTTTAAAGACTCGAAGTTCTTAGTATATAGAACTTTCACTTGTTTGGTTAGCATTACCCCAAGATATTTTCTGTTTTTTTTGGGGGGCGGCTATTGTAAAGGGTGATGTTTCTCTATTTCTATCTCAGCCCCTTTATCATCTGTATATAGTAGGGCTACTGATTTTTTTTTTTTGAGTTAATCTTGTATCCTGCTGGTTTGCTGATAGAGTTTTTTGGGTCGCCTATGTAAACTATCATATCATCTGCAAATAGTGACAGTTTGACTTCCTCTTTTCCAATTTGTATCCCCTTGATCTCATTTTGTTGTCTTATTGCTCATGGAGAGAGTGGGCAGCTTTGTCTTGTTCCTGATTTTAGATGAATCACATTGAGTTTCTCTCCATTTAGTTTTATGTTGGCTATTGATTTGCTGTATATTGCTTTTATTATGTTTAGGTATGTTTCTGTTATCTCTGATCTGTTCATGATCTTTATCATGAAGGGATATTTGATTTTGTCAAAGACTTTTTCAGCATCTAATGAGGAGTTGGGAGAAAGAGAAGGGGAGAAGAGGAGTGGGTAGGAAGACATGACATACCAGGAAGATTGGGTCAGGGGGAAGAATAGAGGAGAACAAGAAAAGAGATAACATAATAGAAGGAGCCATTATAGGTTTAAAGAGAAATCTTGCACTAGGGACCTACAAGGATGACCCCAACTAACAATCTAAGCAGTAGTGGGGAGGGTACCTTAAACACCCTTCCCTGTTAATGATATTGATAACTACCTTAAATGCCATCCTAGAGCCCTCATCCAGTAGCTGATGGAAGCAGAATCAGACATCCTCAGCTGTTTACTGAGCCGTACTCCTGGAATCCAGTTGAAGAGAGGGAGAAGTAATGAGCAAAGGGGTCAAGCCCAGACTGGAGAAACCCACAGAAATAGCTGACATGAATGAGTGGGAGCTCGTGGACCCCAGACTGATAGCTGGGAAATAGCATAAGACTGACCCAGACTCCCTGAATGTGGGTCTCAGTTAGGAGGCCTGGGCAGTGTATGGTACCTCTGACAATGGAACCAGAATGTATCCCTAGTGCAGGAACGTTCTTTGGGAGCTAATTCTCCATGAAGGGATACTCCCGTAGCCTAGAGATATGGGGTAGGGCTTAGGCCCTACCCCAAATTACTTGACAGGCTCTGATGATCCCTCATGAAAGGCCCCACTCTCCCTGGAGAGTGGATGGGGGATGGGATGGGGGTCTGTAGGGCACATGGGAGGTATAATGAACTGGGATTGATATGTAAAATAAGAAAAAATATTAAATAAAAATGCCTTAATGGCTCTAAGTCTTTAACATTATCCATTTCCGATCGATATGTAAAATAAGAAAAACAAAAAAAAATGTAGATCAAGGAGAAAATGTGGTAGAAAGTAACCAAGATGCTGATAGTTCTGAAGTCATGAGTCCTTGTAGATTACAGTCCAGAGATTTATTCTAAATAAAATCAGAATTTAGATTTGGAGATTAAAAAAATTAAATATTCAATTCTACTCACTTGTTCATGTATTTGATGTGCTGAGGGTTATACATTTATTTTGTTCTACACAGATTTTTTTACTAATTGAGCCCATTAAATATATTTCTGACACTTTAAAGTGCCTCATGCAATATACTGGATCTTTACAGGTAGGTGTAGGGTTCAGCTTCTGGATTTTTTAGTCTACTCCCTTGTTCAGTTTGCTCTGTTACCATTGCACACATTTATTTATTGTTGTTTACAAGTGTTTATTGATAATTGTTGCTCCTAATTACCTTTATTTTATAAAATGTTACCTTTATTGGAACAACCTTTATCTTCTGAAATTTGTTTCTATTTTTGTTACTTTTGATACAGTGTCTCTATTTCCTTGCTTGCTTTGAAACTCACAGAGACCTACCTGTCTCTGCCTTACATTTGGAAGGATTACAGATGTGGGTCACCATGCCCAGCCTTTTAAACATTATAATTTTTTGGGGTGTGGTGTCCTAGCCTATAAATTTTAAAAGTAATCTTTTTGATAACTCAAATAATTCTTCTGGGATTTTTATGGAATTTTATTGAATTTGAAGTGGGAAAGTAAAACATAGTGTACATCTCCATTAATGTGAGTTTTTTCTCTGATTTATGGTACATATTCAGTGTTTACAAAATAATATACAGGGTACATATAGATAGTGAATGTTTCCTTTAATGAAATGTGGCAATGCATTATGATAAAAATATTATTTATATTCTAAGAGATTGGAACTTTTGCTGTATTTCACAGTCAGTGTTAATAGTACACTTTGAGGTCACTTAAGACTTAACTTGCTGCATACTCAGCCTGTTTGTTTGACATACTTTCAAGAGAACAATGTAACAACTAACCTTACTTGCCTTCAATTTCCCATGCAATCAAGTTTGATAACCTAAGCAAATGCATAGCTGTAATCTTAATGTACTCGATACCTGAGTAATGCATGCGTGTTATGATAATCATTTGCTAAAAACAGAACAAAGGTTTATAAAATGAATATCCACTATAAATGTTGAATGAAACATATGGATATTACTTGATAACATTTATTTTTATTATCTGGGTCAGTTTGAGAGGGTGACTTAATCCCTTGTAAAGCTCTTTGAAATATTTTGTAAAGTATTCCTCATTCTTTATTCATGTAGTGCTTTTTGTCATGTTCAAGAAATACACAACAGAAGCAGTTTATTAGAAATGATGGAAGACACAACAAGGAGAGCAAAGAAGAGAATTCAAACGTAGGCTCACTCTTGGCCAAATGACACCAATGACAAGGGCTTTATTGATTTCTGTCCTTAATGCAACAGGAATGAGTTACTGGTGACTCTGAGGTTATTATTAATACACTTAGGTTGATGTAATGTATCTAATGAACAAATTTTTAAATTTAGTAGTTGTTGGAATTTAGGCGTTTGTACTGGCTTGCCTTTGGAGTTCTTACAAGATACGCCCTCAGCTGCTGCCGCCAAGAGCACCACCTGTGCCTATTCACTATGTTCCCCTTTAGAAGGGCTCTGCCCACCTCCCATCCCTCTCTCTTTTTTCCCTCTCTGTTTGTCTGTTCCCCCTAATCCCTCTCCTTCTTCTTTCCCACTGCTCCTTTCCCCAGAGACCAGTCTGCCCCTCCCCTTTCTGCTTTTTATGATCCTTTTCCAATAATAATAATAATAATAATAATAATAATAATAGTAATAATACATCTGATACATCTGCTTGAACTCTGTTGCATGGCATTTTTCTCTCTCAAGCTGCTTTTTAAAAAATTACATCAGTAGGAATCTCAAGTATGAACAATTTTATTTTTAAACCCCAACTTGTACATTAGATCTCTAGATACACATCTGCTACTTTGGATCCTCTGGCCTATATTTCATTTCTTGTCCACTTTCTGACTCCTAGGAACCATTATTTTATTTTATATTTCTATATATTTAATCATTTTATATTCATTTTACGTTTTTACCTTATTTCATTTTGCACAATGTCCTTTAGGCTTATCTATGTTGCATCAAATATCTTGATCTCTTTCTTCTTTAAGACTGAATTATATTCAGTATCTGTGCCATCTGTTACAATTTCACTTTCCTAATTCATTAATTCATCCATCCACAGACATTTTGATTATTTCCATATCTTGGGTATGTAAATAACACTATAAGAAACATAGGGTCACAGAAGAGGGACTGCTGGGTCATATGGTAGTTCTATTTATCATTATTTTTAGAAGCCTTCATATTGTTTTTCATGTTGACTACATGAACCTGCAGAGCACTGGAAGTTTACATTGCTTTTATTTCTCTACACTTTGGCCAGAATTTGTCTCATGTTATGATGGGTATAAAGTGATATCGCATAGTAATATTGGTTTGGCATTTTCCTCGTAATTAATGAGGTTGATCACCTTTTTGTATACCTGATGACTGTTAGTCATTTTTAGAGGAATGCTTATTCAGGTTCCTTGGTTACCTTTAAAACTTTTTATTGTGTATGACTAAATTTTCTTAAAATTTCTATTAAAATACAAGCTATGGCTTTAAAGTTCTGTTCTAAGGTTTCTTGGACTGTAGTAGTTGGAAACATATCCAGCATTTTTCTTTTCTTCATATACTCGAGAACAAATAGGCTATTATCTATCTATAGTTATCTGTCTGTCTATTTGTCTATGTGGCCAAGAAGAGACAGATATATAATGCAGAGAGGTCTTATTTAGATATTTAGAATGACAGGTATTTAAAAATACTCAGTGTCTCTGGTTTTTAGATTCTTATTATAGGTTAATAGGTAAAATTGTATCCTCTGATACTTTATGTGTAACTTAATATTTATTTGAGCTTTCATGTGTTGGTACAACTTTTTTTCTTCTGTTTTTAGTGAGGTCCAAGAGCCAAAGGAATCAGTACCACCTCCTAAAACCTCAGCAGCTGCTCAGCTGGATGAGCTCATGGCCCACCTGAGTGAAATGCAAGCCAAGGTAGGTGCAGTTTGGAGGATAAAGTCTGCATTCCAGAGAGGCACCAAGTTAGACTGGTCGGTTCTTCATCCCCTGCTTGGGAATTCTAAGGTGGTGTTCATTTTCCTAGATAACATTTAATTCAGTGGAAAAACTCATTTGGACATGAGAGATAGCATGATATATATATACACACACATACATACATACATACATACATATATATATATATATATATATATATATATATATATGCCTTGACCTGGAGGAGATTGGGGTGTTCTTGATATAGTCAGTCATAAAATCTGCAATGGTTTTAGAATAAATGGCTTGTGGTTTTCCAAAGTGAGTGGAGCAAACTCTAGGGATTGTGATAGGTTAAGTGGATTTTATCAGAGCAGTTGTGATGATAGGATTTAGGATAGACACTGAAGAAGAAGAGAGGTTTGGACACATAATGATATGAGTTGGAGAGATCCCTGAGGGCAGAGGCTGCACTGAATGCATGGTAATACAGAGTCCATTAAGGATATATGCCTGAGCAGGACAGGAGCCAGTGGGCAGGCTGAGACATGGGGCAAGGGAGGCCAAAGTAGAAGGATTAGTTCTGAGACCATACTGAGATAAAATGTGTGGGTTTCTTTTTTATTTTTTCTTTCTTTTTGTCTATAGAGTAAAAATGGCAAACTCATGGGTCCTGGCACAGAGAGACAGACAGAGAGAGAGAGAGAGAGAGAGAGAGAGAGAGAGAGAGAGAGAGAGAGAGAGAGAGAACCAGATCAAGAGTCTTAAGCATTTATCAAAATCAAAGGCATAGATCTAGAATTCTTAATATAGAGAACCCAACCTTTTAAAATCTGGTTGGAAGTTAAGGTGCATAGCTGTGAAATCAGTATGATATACTTAAGGCAGATTGTTAAATTGTGTATGGTATAGGAGGGCAGGGACTGTATTTGTACGAGACTCCCAAAATCCCACTTAGTACCTATCACACAGTGAGAAAGTGATACATAGTTTTTGGAGGGACAAAACGAGATTCTCTGATGGCTAATATTGTATAATTAGCTAACATCTGCACCAACATTGAATGAATTGATTTGTGCTTCATAGTTGATGATGCTAGAAAAACAATCATTAAGAAATTCATGCTGTATTTTCTTGTTAAGGTGTGTCTTTGTGTACTTAAATTTTAACTTAAAAAGTATGTTTTAAAACTAAACAACACATATACAATACACAAAATCAAAAGTACAAAAATGCTTACAGTAAACCATTTCCTTATCATTTGTTCTGGATTGTCTCATTCTGCCCCCTGCAGGGCGTCAGGATATTCTGCATTTTACATATGTGTCTGGAAGTATTTTGGAATATGCAAACAAGAGACATAGATGGGGAGAATAAATTGTTATATTTTTAATTAGCTTTTTTCACATGTAAAATTAGTAACTGTTTTGGTACCTCTGGACATTAATCCTTTGGATAGATACCTCTCAAACACTAACTTCCATTATATAAAGGGGAGGAAAGAAATCTGTATGAGGATCATTTTTTTGAAGGGAAATGAGCATAATGGGTGAGAATATTATAGGCAGTGAACATCAAATAACTAGAGGCCTGAAGTCAGATATTAGCAGAGCCATTCAGGAGAATGTTGGGAACCCACCTGCTTTGACAAGAAGGTTTTTTTAACTGTGAAATAGAAAATGAGATTGGGAAGACAATGTGAGGGTTGTGGGTGTGAAGCTGTGAATATACATTTGATGATAAAATAATTTGATGGGCAGGCAGTGGAGAGCCACTGTATTTACCTGACCAGATAAACATTAGGCAGGTAGATAGTAGCAACAGCCCATAAAGGAGAGAACATGAAATGAGGAGGGAAAAAAATTAGACTGTGTGTCTGTGTCTATGCAAAACTGACTTGAGTAATTTGTAATAATAAGTTTGTATCTGTCTTTGAATAAATGCAATCTCACTACCTTCTCACTTAACACTAGCTTTAAACATTATACAAATCATTAGTAAGTATTATAATCTTCCCTCATTCTCAGATTTGCCACCCTTAGTCAGACTTACCACCTTAGTATACAAATCAAACTTTTGCCATAAAGGTCCCAGGTGACTTTTGGTTTCTTTTCACACTCTCATGTATGTTCACTCTTAGTGCTTTTGTTTTGGCCCTGTTGATCTTTTAACTTTTTTTCCAGTGTGCCAAATGGTTTCACCCCTTGGACCTTCTTTCTCTTTTGGAATGACCGCCTCACTAATGTAGGTATTTCTGGGTTCTTGAGTTCATATGCTCAAGTACTTGTGCAGAGGCACTTTCCTCTAAATAATTTCCTACTGACCACACCACCCACCATCACAACTATCTATTATATAACATGCAACTTTTTTCCTGTATTTGTTGGTTACCTGCCACTCATAGAATGAAAATTCCATGAGGCAAGAAACTTTGCATGCTTGTATACTGCTTCATAACAAGTTCCTGGAATACTGTCTGTGACAAATTAGGTGCTTGGCAACTAATACATGAATAAAAGGAAGAGATGACTAATTTTCACCTGGGGTCACTGCAAGAGCTACAAAGAGTACAATCTTCGTACATTTGATACAGATTACAAGTAAATGGCAAGTGATCAGATTTCGTTTTGCTCAAGGAATTTAAAAAGAGATGGAAATAAAAGTGTATTTTTTTTTGTTTGTGTTCATGTTGTGTGTCTCCAGTACTTGAAGGAAGGTTAGGGGATGGCAACAAGATCAGTCATCAGAGATGAAAGGATAGGTTGTATAGCAAATGCCAGAATGAATAAAGGTGCACACAGGGTGATTTCTATTTATGGTTCTTTCCTTGTCCAAGGTTTCAGTGACAGCAGATGGCAGCAGTAAACAATTACCAGACAAGCAGGACCACAAGGCGTCATTGGACTCAATGCTTGGGGGTTTGGAACAGGAACTCCAAGATCTTGGGATTGCCACGGTGCCCAAGGGCCACTGTGCTTCCTGCCAGAAGCCAATTGCTGGGAAGGTGGAGTGATCCAGGATGTTGGTCCAATCAATCTCTCTCTCTCTCTCCCCCTCCCTCTCCCTCCTCCCTCCCTCCCTCTCTCTCTCTCTCTTTCTCTCTCTCTGTTTTCAAGAATGGCTCTTTCTCTTTGTATTCTAAGGTATTTTAGTAATCGTTAACAACCATTAACTGCTTATAGCATTCTAGACCCTAAGCTAAGTGCTCTGTAAATATTCCTGCATTTAGTAGTTGAATCAACCTTTAAGGAGGATTTATTATCATGTCTTTTGCAAAAACAAGGAAATCAAGAGCTCAGAGACATTGGCTGCCAAGACCGAGATCTGGTAAGAAAAAAAGCAAAGAGAACATTTGAGTCCAGGATTGTCTAGCTTCTGAGTTTGAATTCCTAATCATTTTTATTCACTGCTCTTACTGAGGTGGCCTTTCTCACTGCTCCCTCTCTTCAGACATTTCTGGAGTTGAATTTATTCATTGCAATTCCAGCTAAATGTAACTTTAATCAGAGATACAGAGACATACTCTGAATCGTTATCACCAAATCCACAGCACAGGGCTTTCCAACTGAACTCTGGAAGGTTGAGAGGCGAGGTGTTCAAAGTCGAGGCGTAAAATCTATTTGGCTTCTTGATTAGTCAGGATGGCACTTCTGTCCCTTTTACTATCCTTTAAGCATGGTCTCAGATGGCCTTAGGGTAATCTAGGTCTGGGCCTTGTTACTGTATAACTCAGGTCGTCTACATGGAATGCAGCATGCAGAGTGCCCTCTAGAGGTGCATTCTACTGCACTGCCATGTCAGGCTCTGTTGTATCCCCAGGTGATCCATGCTCTAGGGCAATCCTGGCACCCAGAGCACTTTGTCTGCACCCACTGCAAGGAGGAGATTGGCTCCAATCCCTTCTTTGAACGGAGTGGCTTGGCTTACTGTTCCAAGGACTACCACCACCTGTTCTCTCCACGCTGTGCCTACTGTGCTGCTCCCATCATGGATGTGAGTAACTCCCTACCCTGCCAGCTTGCATGAAGTGTCTGATCACCCATTAAGAACACTAGCATGTTTTGTAGCTTCGAAGCCTCCCAATACTTCTCCATGTGTCTTGTTTCCAGAAAGTGCTGACAGCAATGAACCAGACATGGCACCCAGAACACTTCTTCTGCTCTCACTGTGGAGAGGTGTTTGGTGCAGAAGGTAAGAGGGGAGACTCTAACCAACCCCAGGGGGAGAAATGGGAAGGTGAGCAGCACTGTTCCTTGGGGACCGGTCTATCTCTGCTGGGTTCCTGTTCTCAGAACTGCCCCTTACCAGCCAATTCCATGTCTAGATGTCATCTCTCTACCTTTCCCTAACAATGCTATCTTTAAATTGACTTTGTTTTTTTTTTAAATTAAAGAAGTGAAAATTCATCATTTAAAGACAGATTGTGGCCTCAGGAGATGGCTTGGTAGGTGAAGCACTTGATGCGCAAATATGAAGAAGACCTGAGTTTGAATCCCTAGCATCTGCTTAAAAGCTAGGCCTGGCAGCACAAGTGTTCCTACCAGACATGTGAGGCAGACACAGGAGAATCCTTAGAAGTTCGTAGGCTACCTAGCCTAATGTACACAATGCAAACAGAAGAGACTGTCTCAAACATGGAAAGAAATAACTGCCATCAGAGTTATTATGACTTCTATACATGAATCATGGTACATACATACTCACACAAACATGAAAACACATATACCCCCCCACATTGAGTTCCTATTAAAGTTATGAATCAATTTTTCCCTTGGAATTAAAATTTGAGTTGCTTTCCTCTAGTTTAATTTTCACTATACTTACTGTGAATTTACCTGGTACAACCATGAAACCCTTATCAAAACAGTCAGCCACATCTACTAATAAGTCTGCTCCATTTTATGTTGTTGGTGATCTGGCTGGCAAGAGAGGCCAACCTTCTGCTCCAACCTGAAATGCTTTTGTCCTAAGTAGTAGTCATTCTGGTCCTTCTCCTGAATGTCCCCCTGGCTGTTACTGCCTTTCTCTTCAGATCCTCTGTTTTTTCTTTTCTTCCTTCTTTGAGTGTATTTTGATAACTTCATACTCTTGTAACATGCATCCTGATAACTATAACTCCCTCTCTAATCTCTCATCTGCCTCATTTTACCTCCTCCCTCCTGAAAAGCACTCTTTCCACACAGATGACTTTTTGTTGCTGATTTTTTTTTATTTGATTGTTGAGACCCACTGAAGAGAGCTTCAATGGCAGAGATGCTGTCAAATTGCCAGCTCTTCTTAATTCTCCTTTCCCCTCTCCCAGTGGAGAGCTTGACTCATTTCTTAGGTATGCTACAGCACCCAGAGTCTCTACTAAATAGTTTCAAATAGTCCCTGTGTTTTGTGACACAGACTTTGAGCCAGTCCTATCTAAAGCTGAGGAGGACTTTGCATTCAGTTACTGGGAAATCTCATGCCGAGGATCCCAGCACTGAAAGTGGATATCCCTTTCAGCCTTAGTTCCTGAGTTAGAGGCCACTCCTGTAATTTATATTATAAAAACAAACAAATAAACAAAACAGCAACCACCAAAACCCCTTACCGATATTGCATAGTGGCATCTCTTCCCCATTTCTCCTTTTCTTTGTGATTCTTCCATAATTTAGATAATTCCTTACCCATTTTTATTCTGTCACTACTTTTTGAATTACCTCAGCATAGAGTTCTATAGGAATTATGTTTAATATACAGTGGAAACTGTTTGCACTCATAATTCTTAAGACTACATTTAGCTTCCATAATTGAGAGGTTTTCATTAAGATTTTATCTTCATATTTTATACTACCCAAATTTTCATTGCAGTTTTATTTTTTCTGTGAGTTTGAGCATGCCATAATGTACACGTGGTGGTCAGAAGAAAAAAAGGCAAGTCAGTTTTTACCCTCTGCCACATAGTTCCCAATGATTGAACACAGGTCCTCAGGCTTGGCAGTAAGAGCCTTTGCCCCCTGAACCATCTCACCAGCCCTGTTTTATTTTTTCTATGTGACCCTTTTCAACAGTTTGCAAGGATGTATTTTTCTGAATAGTCCTTCATTTTTTTTTATTGTTCCTTCTGTTTTTGGAGCAGCAGAGTCAGGCTGACTTCAGGTTTATTATGTATATGATTATGACCTCCTACACTTCGTAGGTGCACACATGCATGTGGATACTGGAGGGAAAATATGTATAACATTGTGTATGTGTGTGTGTGTGTGTGTGTGTGTGTGTGTGTGTGTGTGTGCGTGTGTGCGCGCGTGTATGTATGAGATAAGGCCTGAAGCTTGCCAAGTAGGATTGGTTATCTGTTGAGTCCCAAGATACCCATTTCTGGATTACAAATATGTGTCATTATGCCTGGTTTATTTATTTGTTTGTTTGCTTGCTTGCATATTTATTTGTTTGGTGGGTTCTGTCTGGGGAATCTAACTCAGTTTCTTGTCTTGTGTTTACAAGGCAAGCACTTTATTGAGACATCTGCCCTAAAATAAAACTAGAAGGTTGAAGGGATAGAATTTGAATTCAGGTCTCATTTCTGTAAGTTCCACACCACACTTTAGCTAACACATTCTAACTGCTGTTTGACTTAGATTCAATTCTCCTATTGATAGATCTCCTTACTTTCTGAGTATCAACTTGTATTTTACTGTGCAATAGAGCCAGAAGCAGTAGCACTGACATAATGTACTAACAAAGTTCTTTGTAGCGATTTGCCTGTGTACTGGAGCTTGTTCAATGCACTTAATAAATCAGTAGGTCTTTCATGTCCACATTGCACTTTAATTAGGCAACATTTTTTTATTGAGTAAATCTAAGTCACACTAAAATTATCCTGTTTGACTATATCAATAGCAATAGAAATATGAGAATTAATTAGAGTAAATTAATAAATAACCATTAAATGAACACTGCTTCTTGCAGAATGCTTTTCTCTAAGCATAATAGCCATCCTCTCCATCTGGGCAGGGGTGGCTACTTGCCTGAGACCCTAATAGGGCTTGTTGGCTGTAGGTATTCCTTCATAGAAAAGGTTTAGGAGGGTCACTTTAATGTGATTCTGCTCTAGTGGTACATGGTCTCATGCTCTCAAGAGAACATATAGTGCGTGTAAGGTTAGTGGAAGAAGAAACTCCATCTATGCAGCTATAGGAAAGTTATTATCCATGTTCAGAAAGACGTCCTGGTGGTGTGGGTCTTTAGGGTTACACTCTTTCTATAATCCCAGTGAATGCAGTGATTCCCTCAGTTGGACTTTGGTGTAATCGTATATTGATTTATCATTGAGGACCTGTGAGGAGAGGTGGACAGCACTGTTCATTGATAATTATGATATAGAAATTGCCTGGAAACAGCAAAGGGCACATTTGAAGAACAGCCATAGATACATTAAAAAAAAAAAGTTCAGCTGTAAGTATGACTGGGAAGCATTTCTAGTTTCATTGTTCTTGAATTGGGTTCCTCCTAACCTGACAGGGTTCATTGGGTCATTAAGATTTAAAATAAGCATGAAATTGCACTGAAAACATATAGTAATAGAGAGACATGGCAATGGATCCATTTATTATCTAGAACCTCCTTTTGGTTTATAGTTCCATTCTTTTCACTGGCTTTCTTGTAAATGGGTCTCCTCCTGTATGGTCAGTCCATTAATTAGATAGCATCCTGACTTTTATTCCAGGATGCATAGACACATACAGAGTTTCAATAATGACAGTTAAACCATGGAACCTCCAGGGAAATTAAACTCATCTGCATTCTTCTTCAGTTCAGAGAATCCCTCTTTAAGGCTCAAGTTTCTAAATACATTGGTCCTTAGCATTTTTCCTAAGGGACTATGTCTTTGGTGCTACCCATCTTTCTTTTTAATTGTTCATTATCTCAGCCATGCAGGTGCTCTTTAATTTCCCCAGTGGCCAAGAGTCACACTGGAGTAATAACACTCTTCCTGTCTCTGTGGTAACTTTTAATTGTCAGTGTCTCTCATTCACTCTCGTGAGGTAATTGGCCCCAGAGAGAGCCTTTGGGACAGTAATGCTGAAACTTTCCCAATTTATTGGGTTACTAAGTATGGGGACATTACAGCAAGTTTGGTGGATTGCTTTGATCCCCCCCCACCCCCAAGGCTCACCCAAGTTGACATGGAGGCTGTTACTCTCCTACTGTCTCACTCTGGAGACCAACTGCTCTGCAGATTCCTAAATGGGGTTCATACCTAGGTTAGGTGGCATGCCTTGCAGCTTTCTTAAGAAATACCAACTTACATCACTTGGCATTTAAAAAATGCAGACTCTTCAGTACCATCCCAGACACATGGTATAAAAACTGGGCAGGAAGGGGTGGTGTAGGAAGGAACTAGCAATATACATTTTAACAAATTCTCAGGTGAGTGAAGCATGCTGAAATTAAAAAGAGTACTGTTTTACACAAAAGCAAAACAGATGCTTGTGGGTCTTTTTCCTTAAATGGCAGGGGAGGGGGGGTTGACATTCACTTTTCTTTAAACAGACTCTAGAAATCTTTTGAATGGGTCAGAAAAGAAAAAGAAAAGTAAAGCAAGAGGAACAACACAGGGCAGATATAAAATTACTAGTTTGGATTCTTAGGTTTATTGGCCTTTTAATTTTGCAAGCTCATCCATTTTTTTTTTAAGAGAAGGAATAACTGAGTGAAGCAAGCTACATCTAACAGTGACAAGAACTAAAGGCAAAAGAGAAACTAAGTGATTTGGGTCAAAATCCCCTGACTTCCTAGTATACTTTTGTGATCTGATTTTTAGAGTGTTTCTTGAGTAGGCAGCTTGATCAATCCACTAAACACACATTGTTGCATACCACTAGACTGGTGAGGCACAGGGTAGATTCTCATCTTTACAGTTTTGGTTAGGATATTCACACTTAGTTGACCTCTCAGTTCCCATGGGGAGCAAGTTTAGGATGCATTTAAGTTAGGGGTGGGATATGAATTTTATCTTCTCCACTGAGTAGTTTGCAATGGATAACTTATCAAAGATAATTACTATTTTGTGTTATTGTATTTTAAAATATTTTAAACATTGGGGTAATGTGGCAAGACCAATGGTACCTAGTTTTTCTCAGAGCTAATGTTCAGTGAGGGAAGGCAGACGCAGACCATGATTAAAAATAAAGTAAGTGCTATAAAGACAATGAAAACAGATGATCTGACAAAGAAGAACTGGGTTGATGCCTCTGAGAAGATGATTATCTGAGTGGACTTATAGTTACATCAACGTCAGGGACATAACTTCAGGCCAAGGAAACAGTTTGTATCAAGGTGTTAAGGAGAAATAGCCCTTAATACTTAGGCTGTGATCCAGGTTCAATGCTGACAGATACCTGTATTATCTCCTTTTTGAACATGGGGATCCTAAAGTTGGGAGAGGTGACAATAATGGCCTTATGTCTTCTTCTAATATAGTTTTAAAGGACTAAGAAACTGCAACTATGAATCTTTGACTTTTATCTTTTTAGGCTTTCATGAGAAGGATAACAAGCCATATTGCCGAAAAGATTTCTTAGCCATGTTCTCACCTAAGTGTGGTGGCTGCAACCGCCCAGTGTTGGAAAACTACCTTTCAGCCATGAACACTGTCTGGCACCCAGAATGCTTTGTGTGTGGGGTTTGTATGCTCAATTACCTTCACTTTTAGGGAAAATCAAAGAGTATTCTTCCCTGAGAGAACTAGTTGCTACTTAGTAAGATGGATTCTAGTCCAAGGTGAGGGATCCATGTTAGTTTTATTTACTTAGAAAAATAGCACACAGCACCCATTGTGAGCATTTGGTGGTCAGTTTTGCAAATGTGTAAATCTAGCTTTTGTTTGTCAAGTACCTGAGATAAATCCTACAACTGGCAGGTAACTGGCAGGGATTTTGAAGATGAAAGTTTTATTTGGTGGCATTATCTCTTGACATGCACTCTTGACATGCATTTCTTTTGCCTGTATTCACTCAATCCTCAGGACTGCTTCTGCAGTTTTTCTTCTGGCTCCTTCTTTGAACTGGATGGCCGTCCATTCTGTGAACTTCATTACCATCACCGGCGAGGGACCATCTGCCGTGGCTGCGGGCAGCCTATCACTGGCCGCTGCATCAGTGCCATGGGGCACAAGTTTCACCCTGAGCATTTTGTGTGTGCTTTCTGCCTGACACAGCTGTCAAAAGGCATCTTCAGAGAGCAGAACAACAAGACCTACTGTCAAGTCTGCTTCAATAAGCTTTTTTCACAGTAGTCCCCTTCGATCCACATCTGCTTCATGTTGCCTGTAAAACTGAGACCAAGGCAGGGATGAGTATACTTTCTTCTCCTGACCCTCACTCAGTGGGCTAATAGAGTATGAAGAATGAGCAAATAAGGAAATTTCTATATGTTATTAGACTTATAATCTTATTTTTGAAGATACTTATTTTTTAATTGTGTATACACTTATATTTAGATCATTCTATCAAGCCCCTCTGATGACATATTTCTCATGTGCACAATTCTTTCTCACATTTTACCTCTATAGATGCCTCAGATCTTCAACTGTGGGCCCCAGAGTCTGACTCTTTCTTTTCTCTTAGGAGTCATGACACTTACTCTTAAGCCTTTAGTGCCTTCCCTCAATGCATTTTGCTATTTTAAGAGGAAGTATATTTTAACTGACATCTGTGATGAGTAAAGCAGCTTGTGGTTTTGGTGACTCACTGTCATACTCATGTGATAGATAAACTTTGCTTTCTATATTGTAGAACACCAGGTACTATTTGCAGCTAAATTTATACCCCTTCTCTTCTTTCCTTGCATACAGCAGGTATACCCCATTTTAAATCAGAAGAAGGTAAAATAGGGGACCTATTGTTTATAATACTTCTCTTTAGTTTGGGCCTTCAGACATTTTATTTTTCAGACTTTGAATTATTATAAGTCTTTGAATCATTACAAGATGATAAGGCTTTAAAAATTTGTCTTCCCTTTATCTAAAATGATCAATTAAATACCTTACAAATGCTTTTCAAAAATGAAAAATGAAGAATGTGTATCCTTCAAACTTAAAACTGCCTCATGGAGACAAATGTCAGTGCACAGCTTCTCTGAGGAAAAATGTTACAAAATATTATGTGATAGTCCTTTAATTGGATAGGAAAGCCAAGCCACAACCAATTAGTAATTGTTCTCTCAAAACACTTGAGGTTAATTTACAGAAAACTTTACAAGTTGCCGAGGAATCCAACTTTCTTAGAGCCTATTGGTTTGTTTATAAATTAGGCTGCATATAGAACCATGCTTCTGTAAGTGAGGCACTCATTGGGATGGTGTGCTTTATTTTCTTACCACAATCTTAAAAATAATTATATGATTATTTTATTATAGCAAAAGCATAAGGTTTTTCTAGAATCCTAAATTCTGAGATTACAGGCAAAACCCCCTTCATTGGGAGTTTTCTCTCCCTACCCAAAAAAATAATTATGAATGAAAGTGTTATTTTAAGGTTGGTATGAGAATCATACTTCTTAGAGAATTAAAATGGATTAAGTGATTCTTTTTTTTTAAATTTTTAAAATTTATTTTATATAACAAAGTCCATTTAAATGAAAACAAACATTTATAGACAATATTTGGGAATTTGGGCGTTGTTCTTTCCAAACTACTTCCTGCTGGTAAGGGGCTCTGTCATGCAGGATTAGAAGAAGATGTAGAACTCCTGGCTGTAGTCTGTAAGGCTGCTTTGTCCAGCTGTTTTGAATGTAGGATCACCTGGTACTCTCTTTCAGGTGGTCTGGCTTGATCAAACCACATTAGTCTGGAAGGAATCCACATCTTTTCATTTTCTGTGGAAACAAAAATAGAAATCCTTTTCCCCAGTAACTTGTCCTTGAACTTAAATTTATGTGCCTGTACATGTGCTCACACTCAGGAGTAAATGTGCACACTCCTGTGGAAGTCTCTGTCCATGTCTCCGCCCCTCCACATGATGACTTCAGCAGATGCCTAATTCTTGGTCATCAGCAGCCTTGGGACTGGGAGGGAGTTCCGGGTGCAGGATTGCTGTCCCTTCCAGGAAGGAGCAAGACTCGGGAGGGGGAGCCGTCTTACTTGAGATCCCACCAGAGGTGGTAATGGGCTTCTGCTCAAATCCCATAGGGGTACTCTGAAGACCAACTAAAGCAGGAAGGTTTGTAAAGGTTGACACTCGGACAGGGCCTATGTAGGCTCCCTTAGTCCTAACTGAGTGGATGCAGAAGCTTGGAGCTATCATGGAAACAAGCATAACCAGCATCAACCTCTGGGAGGTAGGAGACCCCAGAGGGCAGCTGTGAGGTTTCCTGTTTGGCCAGCTCCACCCTGCCGCCTCTGTGTCTGGGATTAAGTGATTCTTGTTAAGATTTATTGTATGTCTCATTTGCGAGGATGGATAAAAAGGGAGTGTTGAGAGTTAAAAAGCAGTAGTGACAGTTAATTTTATTAACTATGAACATATGTGTGAGGCCACAGTGATATGGAGCCATCTGGCCTTCTGTACTGTTGGCTGGCTGAACATAGATGAACGATACACTTTTAGCTTCTTAGTGTCTTTTTCATGGTCTCAACTGATGATGCCATAGCAGGTGTGAATGAGGCAGTGTTCACAGTCACTTTGGCAGTTTGACAAAGTAAACTTGAGGTTTTAGTACAAAAGAAAAAAATGTTCAGGCTCTGACTGCTTTTGTTTTTCTTTGAAGAACTGCCTGTTTTGAGATCGTTTACAATCTAAATATTTAATAATATGAGAAATGTCAGAACTCACACTCATGCAGTTAGGAATGAAAGCATCCTCCTCTTGTAGGAGAGGTGCTTATGTTTACTCTGGAGGAGAAGCTGTCTGGAGACACAGTCTTTCAACAGGAAAATGATGTTCAGGTAAATATTCTCCTTAAGAAGCAACCCCCTATAACAGAAAACACATCATTTAAACTGACTGACCACCTAACTCCTTTTCTTAGTTATAATTAACTCCTGAGTGTTCAAAACATAAAACCCTTCTCCCAGACAGAACTTTTTCATCCTTGGCTATATGTGTACAGAAAGAAATTTATCATAAACTCAGAGTTCTGATGTTGAGGAGGAGTTCCCACCTGGCCCACTATTCTGTGAAATACCGAGTTCTCCCAGATGATGCTTTGACAGACACAGTTGCTTTTCATTACAAATTTGGTCATGTGATTCTCTCATGGTATGTGATGTCTGTCAGATGTGTGTTCCTGTGCTTATTACTTATATGGGGGAAGAGAAGTGCTTTTTATTTTCTAGTTCTTAAAAAAAAAAAACCAAACCTCTGATGAGCCACTCTTAACTAGACTAGAATAGGCCATGCTCCTATTAGTGAATATGAATGTATCTATATTGTTTGGGGGATGGACTGTACAGTTTGGCAAGACAAATGTACAGTGTTTTACAAAATAGAGACCAGATGGATTAAGAGTTCTAAAACCACACAGGCTCTGTGAAGGTTATGGGAACACTTAAAAACCTGCGTGTTATTGGCAAAATGAACATTTTAAAGATCTTCTTAGTTTCATATAATTTCCAAAGCAAGAAAGTAGGTGTTACTTGTTCCTTGACAGAACATATCTGAAACATCAAAGTTCAAAATCAGAGGAAAGCCAGCAATTATGGTATCTTGAGAAACACATGGCAGAGGTACTTATTACTTTTAGGAACACAGCATTAAGAAATACTGGAAAGATAGCTCATTGCTTGCAACTCAACCATGAGGACCCGAGTTTCATCCTAGAATCCATATAAAAAATTGGGTATGCTGATGTACATTTGTAATTCCAGTGTAGGGAAAAAGTGGAGGTCAGTGGATTCCTGGGACTCAAAAGATAGCTAGCATAACTCAATTGGTGAGAGGCCATCTTGAAAAATAATACATACACACAGCCACACAACCTGTATATACATATACCCTCCACACACACCATCCACATCCCCACAAAAGAAATACCAAAACCATATTGATTTAGAAATATGAGACATAAATCTAGTTGAAATAAAGATGAGAAAACTGCATAGCATACTGAAGGCTCTGGGTTCAATCCACTACAAGAAAAACACAACAACAACAACGACAACAACAAAGAAACAAAAAACAAACAAACAAAAAAGCCCAAAGACACACACACACACACACACACACACACACACACACACCAAGAAAACCCCCAAAACCCCAAAAGCAAAACAAAACTAAAAACAACCAAACCAAACCAAAACAAAAAACCCAAAACAAACACATATTTAAAGACCAGGAGTCACTTCTTTTGAAGATAAATTACAAGTAGGTCTTCAGTAAGGGCAGTAGCAACACTCACTAAAATACAAGACTGGAAAAGCTTCTGTCTGTCCCCAAGATACGAAAAGTTGGTACTAGAGAGAACTTGCCACCAGTGCTGCAGCTAAGTGCTGGGACCTCAGAGCGCAAGGGAGATGGACATCTACTGAGATTCATAGGACTGACACATCTTGGAGGAGAGGCAGTGCTGTATTTGTACTTGCCACACAACTTAGAATGTTTCTGGTGGGCAGCAAGGACTCAAGCCTACTCTGTAAGAAATGAGACAGTGCATGTGCGATGTTTCCTGCCCCAGATAGGATAAGTACACAGTGCCTAAATTACTATCGTGTGGGAAGATAGATCCTGCATTCAGGATTCTGGAAAACTGCATAGATTTTCCTTGAATCTTGATGAAGTAAAATCCACTTTCCTATTTTAGACACCATTGAATAACAAATGTATTATAGGATTAATATCTTTGCTTGAGATACCTACCCAATCCCATTCACAGGTACTGATCAAATATTGTCAATACTGTATAACTCTAAGAGAGCTTTGCTCTTTTTAAACTTTAACTCAGAGTGGTATTTGATTTTAGACTATAATGCATTTGGACTTTGAAGTGTGCTGAGGAAGAGAAACTGATATAATTGAGAACAGAGATGGGGAATCATCAAGTGGAAGTAAGGTGGTGGTTGTTTTGTTTTGTTTTGTTTTGCTTTCCTTGACCCAGTCATCATGCAGAGAGTGAGAGCCCTTGTAATACTCCACCCTAAATGGGTGTTTGCATCAACCCCCTCCCCCAGGGTTCAGATATACCCATGAAGAGGAGGCAGAAAGAATGTAAGAACTAGAGGGGATGGAGGACACCAGGAGAACTAGGTTCTCTAAGTTAATGTGATCAAAGCTCATGAACTCACAGAGACCAAGGCAGCATGCACAAGGCTTGCACAGGTCTGCATCGGGTCCTCTGCATATATATTATAGCTTCTAGTTGAGTTTTTATAAGACACTTGAGTGAGTAAACAAGTGGGTGTCTGATTCTTGTGCCTTGTCTTGGGCTCTTTTCCTTCTGTTTGTTTGTTTTGTCCAAATTTAATGTGTTTTTGTTTTATCTTATTATATTTTTATTATCCCTTAGAAGCCTATTTGTTTTCTAGTGAGACTGGATTGGAAGGGAGGGGGAAGTGGGGAAGAGCTGGGAGGAATAGAGTTGAGGGGAAACCATAACATGTTATATTATGGGAAAATAATAAATTTTCAATTAAAAAGCATATACACAGGAAAGGAAAGTATAAGAAATGCGTGACACCATGAACAAAAGCAAACATTTGATTTATAGGCATACACGAGGGAGAATAATCCAAGTCAATGGCATAGACCAG